TCCTTTTAGTCCATCTCTTTTTAATGTTATCAATCTTCAACCTGTGACTTATCATTTATTTTCTTATCTTGAAAAAATGTAAAACCGTTCCTTTTCTCGGGGGGTCACTTCTGTAAAATTGATTTTTTCTTTTAATTAAGTTTTTATTCAAATAACTAGGTAATCACCATACCGAAATGCTTTCTGTGTTGATAAAATAAATTGACATTGAAATAAGTTAGAAATTTTGCGGTTGATTTCTTTCTTCTAAAATTTTTTTATGTTCTTTTATCTTAGATAATTTTAAGTTTAAGTTTTATTTTTCTCAATGTTTTTTGGTATAGAATCGAAAATAAAATTTATTAAAGAAAACAAAATCATTTATTGTAACATGAACAAAAATGAAGAAAATAAAGGTTTGCCAACTTAGAAAAAGATTTATATTTATGATATTTATGAGGAAAGAAGAATCAGTTAAAAGCTAACTGATTCAGTTAACTGAGTCGGTTCTGAAGTTAAAAGTTAACTACCTAAGTTTGTGGGATAATTCACTCGAATCTAATAATCCCACAGATTATTCTGAATGAGAATTTATCTTGTATGACATTGCATAAGAATGGTACAAAAAGGAAATTGGAGATAGAAATCGTTGAAGAATTTAAACAAGAATGACAAAGAAGCTTTTCTTAATTTTATTCTTTACGAGTGTGTCAACGACTTTTTCATAACAATTCAAGCTTCTTTTCGGAAGTTGAGTTATAATATTTTCCAACTTAATTTCTGAATGGTCATTACAGTCATAGGTCCATAAACTGATGACAAAATGAGGTTCATTGAGCGTATCAGTTTAAATAGCGATCAGTTTATCGAACTTTGACTGTATTTAGAAAAAGATTTCTATAGAACAAACACGAAAATGTCAATAAATATTGATTTAGTGGCACGTTTAGAGAAGAATAGTAAAAGTTCATTTACAGTCGGTATTAATATTTATTTAAAGCTTTTAAAAAACATTATCAACAATCCGAGTGATGAAAAATATCGAAGATTTAAAAAGACAAATCAAAGGATCATGAATGATCTTCTCAGCTTAGACGGAATGGAGCAATTACTTCTCGATTCAGGTTTCGAAGTGGATAATGAAGAATTTGTGCTTCGTCGAGGTGGATTAGGAGTCATGTCAAAGTTGAAATATTACATGGAATATTATGAAAAACGTCTTAAAGACTCGGATGTAGATTCGTCGGTCTTAGCTAAGCCATTAGGAGCAATACAGAAAAAGACTAATGTCAAAGATTCTAAACTTGAAATTACGGCTGGGACGATCAAATCTAGCAAAACATTCCAAGACAGAATCAAATTTCCTCAAGTCCTTAACACAAACAATGAGTTTCTTAAACAGATCGAAAAGTTGTCAGATTCTGTCATGCAATATGAAGATGATTTGTTAAAGGAATCAGCACTTCAATTGATTCCATTAGAAACATTGAAATTGAAAGCTTTAGAGAAATTAAGAAAATTGCAAAAATTATTAAAAAATAATTCATTGAAAGAAGATGAACCACTTCTCGACGATTTGATTTTAGAAGAACTAACTGAATGGTTCAAAAATAGATTTTTCACTTGGATAAATTCAATGCCTTGCCGATTATGTCAGAATAAGGATACAAATCCAATAGGAACACGAATTGAAAATGGAGTTAGAATTGAGGTAATTAAAATAAATTAAAATTAATTTAAACACATCACTCAACTTTTTCTTGATTTGTTTTTCCTAGAGTTATAAATGCAACAAAACTTCTTGCAATGATGTTGTCACTGATTTTCCAAGATACAACGACATAGCAAAATTACTTGTTTCTCGTTCAGGACGATGTGGAGAGTTCGCCAATTGTTTCACGTTCTTGTGTCGTTGTCTCGGTTTTGATGCTCGTTATGTTTATTCAACATCAGATCATGTGTGGAGTGAAGTTTACAATCATTCCAAGAAGCGTTGGATTCACATTGATCCGTCTGAAAATATTTTTGATTCGCCATTAATGTATGAACATGGATGGAAACGGAATTTGGATTATGTCATTGCATTTTCAAGAGATGACATTCAAGACGTCACTTGGAGATATTCAAATAAGCATCAGGAGCTGTTGAAGAGGCGAAATTTGTGTTCAGAAACCGACCTCGTTAATGCATTGATGCGTTTACGATTGAAACGTTCTGAGAATTCATCTGTGGCGAGGAAAAAGTTTTTGACGCTGAGAACATTTGCTGAACTCGCAGAACTTTTGATTATCAGAGAACCCACAGAGAATGAACTCAAAGGTCGAAGTTCAGGAAGCCAAGCATGGCGTTTAGAACGCGGAGAAGCAAATATTTCTAACTTTTACATTTTCACTTTAACAGATGAAGAGAAAAAATTGAAAGAATTTAACTTACGCTATTCTTGCAGTAGAAATGTATTTGAACGATTTAGTTCTGCAAAAATATTAAATTCAGTTGATGATTGGAAACTTTGGACTTATGAATCGGAAAACATTTTTCGTAAAGTTGAACACGACCACAAGATGAGTTATTTATCAAGAACAGAAGATTCTTCGAAAGGAATTCTGAAGCTAAAATTTGATTTTGAAAATCTTTCTATCGACTCCTTGGACTTGACGTTTGAAACGATAACTTTTGAAAATGGAAATATTAAAATCGAGTTTCTTAATGCTTTTGATCAAGAAGTGTCCAAAAATCAACTGAAAGGCTTGTCTAAGTTTTCCTTGCGAATACATTTAAGTGGAGGAAAAGGTGATTGTGCTTGGCAACATGCTCAAATGTTTCGTCAAGAGTTAACTTCCAAATCTTATCCATTCCAATTATCAGTCAAATTCAAATAAAAAATTAAATTTGTTGACAATTTTATAAAGCAAAGACATTGATTTTAAATAAAATAATTATTTTATTAAACTTATGAAAGTTATCGAATAGACATTTAAACAATAATTTTGAAATTAAGGGAAGAACATAAAAATATCCCGTTTATGTTAGATACAAAATTAAATTAAAATCATCTTTTTAATTACAGTCTATGAAGAGTGTTTTAAATGCATCTTCTTTATTACTTACATTGGCGTCACTTTCTATAATATTAATTTTTTTAAATTTCAAATTTCTTTACAACTTTTTTAGAATGAAATTAGATTTCTAAACAAGATAATCAGATTTTATATGACGTGAGGATTTATTGTTGTTGAATGACGTTGTTCATCATTTTTTCCATTTCTGTTTCCATAGCTTTACTGATTTCCTTCTCTTGTCCATGTGTCTTTAAGTGTTTATTTAAATTATTTGATTGGTTAAATCGTCGATCACATAAATGACACTCTGCAAGAAAAAAATATTGAAAATCATCATTCTAATTAATTTAAGTATGCTTCATGAGCTTACCGAAAGGTTTCTCGCCTGTGTGAACTCTCAAGCTGGAACAAGAAAGAATTAGAAAAAATATTTCTTTAATTAGAATTTTATTACTTACTGCGTATTTAAATTATTCTTCTGATTAAATGACTTTCCACAAACAGTACAAGCTAAAATAATTAAAAAATAAATTATTCAAAGAAGATGAAAATTAATTAAAACTTTCTGTTGTTTACCGTAAGGTTTCTCTCCAGTATGTGTTCTCTGATGATTGAATAAGATTCAAGATAATTAAAAAAATTATTGACATCAAAACAAGATTTTCTTACCACATGAGTTTTTAAATTATTACTTTGAATGAATTTCTTTCCACAATATGTACATTCGTAAGGTTTATCAAAAGTATGAACTCTCCTGAAATTAAATGTTAATATTTAACTTCCACCAATATCTTAAGATTATTATAAACTTACATGTGCAATTGATATTCTTCTTGATCTTGAAACGATCTTGTGCACATACTGCATTTAAATGGATCTTGATAAATATGAGTTTTGATGTGAGTTTTTAAATTGTTAGATTGTGTAAATTGCTTTTGGCAAATCTTTAAAGACAAAAATATTATTAAATATGAAACGACAAATGAAATCATTCTTACATCACATTTATAGGGCTTAGGATTCGAATGCTGTTTCATGTGATCATTTAAATCATTTTGAACACTGAAAACTTTATTACAAACGCTGCAAACGTGAGGCTTCTCTTCAGCATGATCCCTCATATGTGAAAACAGCTCATTAAATGACATAAAGGTTTGATTGCACATGCTACAGTTTGAAGGATGATAATCACTGTGAGTTCTCAAATGTGTTGTGAGATTATTTTTTTGATTAAAGCTTTTCTCACAAAGCGTACATTCTAGAATAATAAAATTTAATTAAAAATACTTAATGAAAGAATAATAATGACTTACTGAATGGCTTTTCTCCTGTGTGTGTTCGCTAAAAAGATTTTTGTTTTATTTTCTTATCAAAATTTACAAGAATTTCTCTCTACTTACTATGTGAGTTTTTAAATTATTAGATTGACTGAATCTTTTTCCACATATCTGAAAAGATTGTTTTTATAATCAGACAATCTGTAGCATTAATTGTTAAACTCACCTGGCAACCATGAGGTTTTTCTCCTGTATGAATCTTCATATGAGTTGCAAGATTATTAGATTGAATGAATCCTTTCCCACACACAGTGCATTCTGAAAGAGAAAAGAAATTTATTACATATTAAACAAAAGTGATCAATCTTGAGAAACCTACTGTAAGGTTTTTCTCCTGCATGTATTTTTAGATGAATATTTAGGTTTCCAACAGTCGTGAAAAATTTATCACAGACCAAACATTTATGTTGCTTTTCCATGGTTTCACCATTGCTAAGCATTGGGCCAGTTGCATTTTGAACATTAACTGAAGATCCTGGTGATGACACTGATGACTGTGAATTTAAGTCGTCGGATTTCGGAGCTTCAGCTAACATTTGAGGATACACTTCTGATACAAGTTGAACTGGTTGTCCATGAAGTTCATACTTAATGGTACTATTTAAAAATGGATTACAAACACCTGATTTTTGGCTCATCGATGCAACCACCATGGCAGCATGTTCCTGTTGCTGTATGTGATATTCAACTGGATTCTGTTTTATGACTTGCACAACGTTCGCTTTTTCTTTTTCCCTCGGTTGTATTTGAATATGTTGAATTACAGGATGAGCTATATTTAAATTAGTAACTGAGTTGGCAAACTCGGAATTGCTTGGTTTTATAATTTCTGGAATCAACTTTGCATGTATTGGATGGAAATCTTTTTCAATTTTCACTGCACTTGTTCCTATTTGATATTGTTGAAGTGGAGTTGGAATCATTGTAACTTGATTACCTACAGTCGAAACTGCGATAATATTGCGGTAAAATTTACTATCAACATGCTGCTCCTTGATGTGGTTTTGAAGAGTCTCTATCGAAGAAAACTCTTTTTGGCATAAATGACATATTTGAGGGCTCTCAATAGTTCCAATTACAGTCGGTGTAGATGTGTTTGTCTTTTGTTCTGGTGCAATAACGCAGGTTTTGCCTCCATAAAGAATAATTCTTGAGCCAGTTGGAAAGCCAAAATTCTGCATTTGTTTTTGTGCTTCGAACTTTTGCATCACTCCTTAATATGTTTATGCAAAAATAATAAATTTAAAATACAGTTATAACTCCGTTTAAGAATTTTGATTCGTTCTGTTTATATTATTCAATTTTATTTGTACTCATCAAATTGTACCTAAATTTTAAAACTCCTCTCGAGGTTTTACTTCTTTTTGTTTTACTTTCTTACTCCAACTTTAACTTTTGCATGCGATTTTTATTCCTGTTTATCAGCTTTTTTTCTTAAATTTCCTATTTATTGTGTTTTCCAAACCATTTTAAGGAATTTATTACGCGATTCGCAAGTTAGTTTTTTTTTGCGAATCGCATTACTTTGAATTTAATTTTCAGTTAAAATTATTCATATATGAAAAAAAAATTCCATCATTTGAAAACTCAAAAAATAAAAATAAAATGCAGTGAAAACTAATAAAAAGCTTTATTGTAAAAAGAAAAAATATCTCTTATTTTATTCAAGTTATTTGTTGTATCTTTTAAGGCTATATATTGATTTGTCAAGAAATTCTCTTCCTCGACTTAAATTCAATAAAGATTCATCTTAAGCTGTTTAATAAAGAAAACAGATTTTTAACATATTTTACATTAGTATTATGACTTTTCTTTCAAGAATTTTCTGGCGGAATTTTGACAGCGAAGAACTTTAAGATAGTCGCTTCTGTTTTCTTTTGACTTTTCTTTTTCTCTTGACTTTCACTTTTATTTTCTATAGATTTGAGAAGTTTATCGTTCTGATCATTTTGTATTTCTGTGGCAGTGGTCGCTTTTTCCAATGCATTATTTAATGACAGTAATTTTTGTTTACGCATTTTTGTCAACCAATCTACATTTTCTTTCTTAGTTTTTCGATGGGGTGACATTAAACTCAAATGTGGTGCATCACCATCAATCACAAAATTTGGAAGATTCATCGTAGGAGAATTCACGGAAGGTTCCATTCGATCTTTATTTAGCGACTTGGATTTACTCACACGTAAATTTTCCGGTGACTTTATGATGTTTATTTGACGTTTAACTGGAGACGATACAAGATTTTGAAAATTTTGGCTTTGTGTTGAACTCAACTCTTCAAAAAGTGTCTCAAGTGGTCTTGAAGCTGAAGTAGTTGAATAATGATCTATACATGAAGATGGCGATGAAGGGAAAAGTCTTCTTCCTTTAGCTTCAATATTCGGTCGTTTTCTTTCATTTCCTTCAATAACAATTTCTGGATCATCGGCGCACATTTCCTGAAAACTTCTTTTCAATGATGAGATTTCAGCTTTTGTTGGAGTCATTCTGATTTGTTTGTTTTGTGCATTCGAAGTTCGAGGACTTAAATCTTTTAACTTTCTTCTTAAAACTTGTTTAGACTTTTCATACTGATAATATTTTTCACCAAGTTCACTATGACCACGTAAAGAAAGTCTTTCGTCTTCTGGAAGAAACTCCGGACCAACACGCCATACTTTGTGACAAGCATCATCTGAACAAGTGACAATGCACATATTTCCTCCATCCAAATTATTTTGATGATTACTCCAAGCAACGCAAGTTACTTCAAAATTATGTCCAACCAATGATGCAACAGGATGAGGATTTTCAATGTTCCAAATGTAAGCTTTTTCATCACTACTTCCGCTCAACAGATAACGTCCATCAGGACTTAAACATGATTTTATATAAAACGAATTAATTTGAAGACCGGAATAAATCATTGTCGGCTCTTTTGAATAAGCTGAGATGTTGTAGCTGTAAATTTTGCTGTCCATACAACTGGCGAAAAGTCTCGTTTCTGAATCATCAACAATTAAATTTGTGAAGCCTTTTAATGTGGAATTTCCAGCATAAGGCAAACTATGCTTTGCTACTGGTTCTTTTTTAAGTGTTGAATAACATCTTCGAAGGTCCCACATTTTGATGACGCCGTCTGCAGGTCCACAAGACACCAAAGTGTTCTCATTTTGAAAGATCAGTCCAGTCACACTCGAATTGCTGACATTTGTTTGATTCTTTGGAGTTGCATATCTGTTTCCTCTTCGTCTTGTTGATGGAGTTGTTGGACCGCCACCAATGTGTGCATTATAAATGCGATTGTCAATTTTTTGAACTTCGTTGTTTGTGTTACTTCTCAAATCCCAGATAAGAATTGCTCCATCACGTCCACCTGTTGAGAACACAGAACAATCGTTCTTCCTAAAGGCAGCAACTTTAACTGATCGTGAATGTCCACAAAACTCTCGGATATTAATAAGTTTGCTTTCTGTAACGTCCCATAATCGGGCAGTATGGTCCCCACTTGCACTGATTAACTTTAAATGATAAGGCATCCATGCGATATCAAAAACTGCACTGTAATTTAAGAATTATTTAATGAATTTCAATTTGGAATGATTGAGCAATAAAATTCTTACTTGTAATGGCATTGATCGCCTTCAAGTGATAAATCTTCACTTGTAGAGTTCTTAACAAAAGTATTTTGTAGTGCAATCTAGAATTTTGGTATAGATTTAGATATTAGTTGTATACTTTAACTATTTCATTCAAGTCTTACTCTTCCATCCTCGTTGGCAACCGCAAGAATGTGATTATAGTTTTCAGTATTTGCAAATTTTGCCGCAAATATTGGCGGATCTGGATTAAAGTCTGCTCCTATTCCTGAAGGATTTATTCCTCTCCAGTTATCCCATGGTCTCACCATCAGTCTTACTAGAGCATTATCATAAGATTTTTCATAATCTATAAAGAAGAAAACAAATCAGGCGCGAAATAATTTTTAGAGGGAAACTAATTTTTCTAAATTGTAAAAGAAAAACCAGAATAAAGATATAATACTTACATTTTCCATATTGCCTATTAATTAGTCTAGCTGTTATGTTATTTATTTTAGTCATTTTCAGTTTTTCAAAGCTTATTGTACACTCTATAATAAATCTCTAAAAATTTCGTTATATTTTGAACTAGAATTCCTGTACTGTTTTGAACCAATGCATAGAGTGTTAACAACTCTATGCGATTTTGAACCTAAATTGAACTCTGAGTTCATTTTTATAATTTAAACAAAAATGGTTCTCAAAAGCTTATTTCTAATTATATTGGTAAACATCTGTTTAGGTTGGTATACACAACATTAATTAAAAGTTTTTCTAGTGTTGATATAATAGAAATTGGTTTTATAAAGTTTTTTGAATCCTTTGATATGAAAAAAGTGTCATTAAAGTTAGTGTGATGGAGTTCATTTTTTTCCAAAACAATCTTCGGAATTCAATCATCAAATTTTACTTTTCAACAATACAATCACCTTATAAATACTTCAATTGATTGATTTATTCGAAAAATTATAAAATTTGTAAATATATTTAACGAATTATATACTTTTAGCCACAATTGAAAATAATCCAGGATCACTTTTGATCGAAGATCCGGAACCAACATCAGAATCAAAATCAATCGAACATAAATTCCATCAAGGCGATATTGTTGTGAGAAATTCAATCGATGCAACACCAAGGTATGTCTAGCTTGTTTTACTTTTTAGAAAATTAAGAAAAATCTATTTTTGTGTTGTCTGTATTAACACTTCCAAATACTTCCATTCCTATTGCTAACATAAACAAATCTTAAGGAGACATAACAAATCAAAACGTAGAATGAAAATTAAAAAGAAGAGGTAATTAAGTAGTGTGCATTGCCCTATCACTGAAATGTCTACAATTCATAACAAAAATGTTGATATTTAAAAGATCAGAATTTAAATTTCTTCCATAATTCATTTCAAGGTACAAATGTCATGTTTGCGATCACTCTGAATGTAGAAATGATACAACGCATGATGGTGTTTGCTTGAATGCTTTAACATGTTGGAAATCGAGAGTCAGAGATGCGACAGGACTTGAACATGTTTCACGAGGATGTACAACAAAAACTGAACATTTACCGCTTTATTGTTCGCAAAGTAATATGAATGGAGGAGGGCCAAAGAAGCGAGATGCGACTGGTTTGGGTGTTTACCACATGGAATGCTGTACTGGCGATTATTGTAACAATGGTAGCTTTCCTTATCTACCTCCATTAAAGACCGAATTGCCCGATATCGTTGTCAACAATGATATCATCAAACTTTGCATCGCAATCTTTGCTCCAATTATAATTATCGGTTGCTTTGCAATAACAATAATCTTATACATGCGAAGAAATCATAAAAAGCGGTTAACTGATGCTAGAATTCAACGAGATGCTGACACTTATTACGCAACCGATGATCTGTTGAAGCGAACACATGCATGTGGTGACAGCACGTTACGGGTAAGAAAATTTAAATTTCAATTGAAAGATTCATAAAATTAACAATTCAAACATTTCTCAGGAATATTTTGATCAATCAGTGACATCAGGGTCGGGAAGCGGACTTCCTTTGTTGATTCAACGGACATTAGCTCGACAAGTGACACTGGCTGAATGCATCGGTCGTGGACGTTATGGTGAAGTTTGGCGTGCGGTTTGGCATGGTGAAAATGTTGCAGTAAAAATCTTCTTTAGTCGTGATGAAGAGTCGTGGAAACGTGAAACTGAAATTTACAGCACGGTTTTGCTACGTCATGAGAACATTCTTGGCTATATTGGATCGGATATGACATCGAGAAATTCCTGCACTCAATTGTGGTTGATTACACATTACTACCAACTTGGCTCTTTATACGATCACTTAAATCGCGTCACTTTAAGTCACCATCAAATGATAACAATTTGCCTCTCAATTGCCAGTGGTTTGGTTCATCTTCACACAGAAATCTTTGGAAAACAAGGCAAACCAGCAATTGCTCATCGTGACTTAAAATCGAAGAATATTCTGGTGAAAGCCAATGGACAATGCGCTATTGCTGATTTCGGACTTGCTGTTACTCATACACAAAAAGATGGATCAATTGATATTGGAAATAATCCCAAAGTCGGAACTAAACGATACATGGCACCAGAAGTTTTAGATGAAAGGTAAATAAATTAACTTTTTGAAAAGATTTTGAAACTAATTGAAATGTTTTAAATTTCCTAAGCATTAACATGGAATGTTTCGAAGCTCTGCGACGTGCTGACATTTACGCTATTGGATTATTATATTGGGAAGTTTGTCGTCGAACTGTCAGCTGTGGAATTGTCGAAGAGTACAAAGGTAAGTTGAAGTTTAAGAATGATTGTGAAGTGATGATGAATAATTTTCTGTTTTGTTTCTCTTAGTGCCATATTTTGATTGCGTTCCTTCGGATCCATCATTCGAAGAAATGCGTAAAGTTGTTTGCGGTGAAAATTATCGTCCTTCGATACCGAATCGCTGGTCATCAGATCAACTTTTAAATGGAATGTCAAAGCTTATGAAAGAATGTTGGCATAACAATCCAAATGTTCGTTTACCTGCTTTAAGGATAAAAAAATCACTCTTCAAGCTCGCATCTTCCGATGAAAATTTCAAACTTAATTACAATGGTGAGATATGTGTTTGATAGAAATGATTTTCATTTGTGCTAAATGCTAAATGAAATGACTACAGTTCATCTTCGAAAAAAAAAAACAAAAAGAAAAGGAAAGTTTTCATTTTTTAAGAACAAAACTATTTGAAACTTTTAATTGTTTTCTTCTTTCAAATATTTCGAGGAAGACTTCTAATTCATATATTTTTAAGTATTTTATTCATTAATTATAATCAGTGAAGAATGTTTCGACTACAAGAGATTTTCAATTATGTTGAAACTCGAGCGAATTCGAGTTAGATGACTAAAGTTTCAATCATAATGTGTCCTTACATTTTGCGGTCCCAGAAGTTTAGATGAAGACTTTAAGATGACTTTTCAAATGAGAAATATTATTAGAATGAATAATTTTATTTACTTAACTACGTAAATTTCATTTAATTGACGTTCAAATGTTAGATTTTAACTTTGATTTACATATTTTGTGCCATTCTCTTATTATGGAAGAAATTTTCTTTTCCTTTAATGAAAAAACAAATTTAATTAATATTTCAAGAGTGCGATTATGATAAACTCGGTTTTAAATTTTAATAAATTAAACTAACTAACTAAACTTAGGTTTCTTAAAAATCATTCGATAAAATATTTGATGAATTCAATTTTAAATTTGACAAACTTTTACTCGATTTCAATTCCTAAATTTATGTTTCTAAAAGTGCAATTCAAGTTTTTCTTTTTAATTCGGTGCTTTAATTGCTTATGTTGCCTTAAAAATTCATTGGCCGTGCCATTTGAATTGGATTTTCACACGAGAAGCCTAAATATCTCATTAGAGACATTAATTTGACGGTTCTTTAATTTCCATTATTGAAGATGCTATTTGCAGTTTCTTTCAAATATTCTTTTTATTTCAATTAATTATTTTATAAAGCTACTTATTCGTTTCTAAGTGCATTAAATTTTACAAAAAGAGAAAGAAAGTTGAGCAGTTTTGCCACGATATTTACAAAATTATGCCCACGTTTAGAGGATTTAAAATTAAATATTTTTATTCAAATTACTGATGCCTTTGACGGAATTTTTTATATGAAATTTACGGAATCTTTTTAATGTAGATACATTTAATCAGACACTTGAGTAGCTTTCGAAGAAATAAGACATGCATTGATAAGTATCTCGGAATTCTTGTTCTTGAAGTTTCTCAGAGATTCTTAAGAAAGTTTCTTTCTTTGCCTTCTCTCTGAGATCCTGAAACGAATTTGTTAAAACGAAAAGAAAATCGATTCAAATTTATCATTTTTTATTATTAATCCGATCAAGAGTTTTTCTACAAACGCATTTGTTAAAAATAGATTTAATTCACTGTTTATGATTAGATAGTTTTGACTTGAAATGTCTTTCAACCTAGAAATAATTTTGTTTCCATGAAAATGGTGAAAATTTCATTTTTCCCTCACAAACTTTTCATAGAGAAAACAAATAAAAGGAAGGAAAGCTCTAGGTTGAGACTTAACTTTAGTTTTAAAGTTTGAAAAATGTCAGAAACAAAAATCGTCATCGAGAAATTTCCGATCACACGTGAAGGATTTTTCACTTTTCATGAAAAGAAAAGTCGAGAAATTTCGTGACACATTGACCCAAATTGATTTTCTTTGGCTGAATTGTCACATAATTTTAAAAATGACGACATTATTATATAATAAAAAGAATAAATTGTATTAGTTTTCAGTTACTTAGATTAGAAAAAAAAACATAATTAAGACTTTATTAACTTTTAAATTTATCATAATTCATATTTCCCAATAAATATTTCCTAACTTTTACAAATCAAACTAGAAAGGAAATTAATGTTTTAATGTTTAATTTAAAAACAAAAAAAGGAAGAAAAGATCAACAAAAATAAAAGTATAAATAAAAAAGAATAAAAACAACTTTCAATGGTAATTATTTGGTGCTAATTAAGGAGGGAATGAAGAAGCATTTGAAATCTCTTTTTTTCTATAAATATCACAATCTTAATTGATAAATTACAGTGGAATCTCGACAAACTGATGAAGCAACTCTTTTCTTTCTTGCCAGTCACTTGAGCCAATAATTTATCGTCATTTCACTGGATAAAATTCGATTAAACTTCTCATATTTGCACTCCACCGTTTAGTGAACCTGGAGATGAATGTTCGGTGTCATTGTGGTTTGTGTTATCTGATGATCCATAACTGATGTGATTTGGAGAATTTCCATTGATTCGATTATTTAGAAAGACGTCAGCAATATAAACTAAAGAAAATAAATAATTAAAGTAGTTAAAATTTCCATAAAAACTTCAAAACTTACTTGGAGCTGATAATGAAGAATCTTCAATAATTGTCAAAGGTTTTGTGGTGCATTTCTTAATTGGACTCATAAAACTAAATAAACCTAAAGATATCACCAAAGAGCAGAAGAGAATTGTCGTTCGAAGAGTGAATTGATTTCCACCTCTTAAATATGAAATTCCAGTGAATGCAATCAATAAAAGAACGACAGAAAATTTTGTCATTGTGACAGCTGTCGAGTGAATCTTTCCACCTCCTTGTGACACCATATGTGATGGTCCATAAGCAAAATACAAATTATGTTTGTCATTAAAGTTCTTAAGCATTAAATAAATTAATGCAAATGGTGTGATGAGTGGACACGCAAGTGAATAAACTAAGAAAAAGAAAATTTAGAAATTTTAATTAAACAAATTGATTATAGATTTCTCACCAGTTGCCATTGTGAAGACCATGACAGTCCACGAATAATGAATACCAAAAACAAATTCAATAACAATCGATTTTCTAATGTGAGGTGTTTCAGCTTCACTTCTTGCCGTTAAAATTCTATAAATGTACATGATGAGGTCAGGAAAGCGAATAAGTTCCAAGGCTGTTCCAATGAAGCACATCGTGATGATATAATTTACAAAGAAAGCTCCACGATCAGGAAGAAAAATACATTCAAACTTAATCGTTGCTGATGAGTTTGTAAGGCTCACTGACCATTGCAAGAAAGCAGACGCTGAGAACAATCCAAGACTAGGCAGAATTAGAATCATGAACAATAAATAACCGAATGTCTTTGTCATAATTGCGTAGTTTTCTCGACTTCTCGTCCAATGTGAGAGATAAGATTCTGAGTAAGCGACAACGATAGGCATTAAAGCTGTCAATGACCATAAAAGAAGTGTTGGCAGAAATTCAGTAAGTAAAGGCGACGCTTGGAATATTTCTTCTGTTGTCGATGAAAAGTTTCTCATTAATTGCACTAAATATGCTGGCGTTGTTAAGAAGAAAAGGAAGAGAAACATAATTGAATTAACGCCCATCCATCTAATGTACCATTTAGCGGAATTTGCTGAAAGATTCTCCCAAAATATGTCGGCTGGTGCAGGTGCATAAGTAAGAGTCCAATCTTTGCTAGATGACGCTTGAAAATGTGCAATCATATGTTTAGCAATTGACGTTGAAGAAACTGTGATGAAAGTTATTCCCAATGGATCGTTCATTGCTGCTGATCTTAATCTCGCCACTTCTCCACACAATCTTTGCTCTTCATTTTTATAGAATTCTAATGCATCAATAGTTTCACATGTGAAACAACTTGGTCGTGTCTTAACTCCACGATGTTGCTCACAATATATTCGAGCTTCGATCACACTTTCATATTCCTTTGCAACTTGTGTTAATTTCTTTATATTATAAGCTATTTGAATATCTTGCACTTCAACATCGGGAAAGATTTGCTGCAAATAATTTTGAATTGTGTTTCTATTACAATCTGGCTTTGCTACATCAGTTATCATCACTGTTCTTGTTGGAGCGACCTTGACAGCATTTCTTCCGCTTGATCTTCGCATGATGAGAACAACGAGGGGAACAAAAAGAATTGCAAAAATTGTATGAACCCAAAGAAGTTTAGAATTTGCGTCTAAATTTGCAATTGTTGTGTGTCCGAAGGTATTTATATCTCCAAACAATTGTCCCGTGAAGTTTATTGGTAAAATTATGACTATTGATATGAAAGTGATGATTGCCATTACAATAATTAAATGACTTTGAAAGTTCAAGTAATGAACTGCGTCTGGGCCTGTTGAAATAATTTTAAATGAAGTTAAAAAGATCTTTAAATATTTTTGGCTTGCTTACCAGAATGCCTTAAAATTTGTTCCTTACGAAGCTTCCATGTCGCGACAATCCACGAAAAGAAACCGGAATCTATAACAGAATGCTGACGATGCATACGAACGTGAAATTGTTCAGGCGTTTCAACATCACCTCCATTATCTGTCGCAATCATTTCATTACTTAAACTATTCAAAATTTCCTGATTATTCCCGTGAGCATAAAATATCTGAGTCCACTTCTTTCCTGTGATGCTGTTGACAAGGGCAAGTCTCCCATAATCCCATGCTTGTTGTCGTAGTAATGTGAATAAAAGTATCAGAAACACCCACGCAATCAGATTCAAGATCAACGTTTGAGGAATTCCCTCGTAAAGGTTCGTTATGATGACAGTTTTGTTGTTTAAAGTTTGTAGACAATCAAAGTTTTCGGGAGTGGAATTTGGGATTGTTGTATAATTAGACTAAAATAAAATCAAAAATTAAATAAACAAAGCAAGAGTTAAAGTGGTCGATGTTGATAAGATAAGGAATTTACACTTTAATCATATGAAAGAGTGTTCTTTTTCTTTGAAAAAATTGATACACTTTGACTTTTCTGGAATGTGATGAATCATTTGAGTTCTGTTAGACGGAAAGTTTTTTTCCGTTCATTACGGCATGGTTTACAAGATTTCAATCTTCATTGAATTAATTTGATTATTTTTCCAATACACTGCAGAATATTAAATGATCTATTGATTTTTTCAAACACTTGCACAATAATTAATCTTAATTTTTCTAACAATGAAATTTCATTCGCATTGTTTTTGTTGTGATTTCGTTTTTTAATATTTGCAGAAAACTCTGCTCTTGTTTTATTATTTACTCACCATTTTGTTATACTTTAAATCAAACTTAACACTATTTATAAAATTTTCACTTTATATATTCTATTAAAACTTTATTTAAAAGAATATACGATTTGAAATGTTGGAAATTATTGGATCATCGAGAATTTTATTCAACACGGGGAATGTAAGTCATAAATTTTAAGTACCGAGGGGCTCTTGATCTTTTGGTTTTTGAATTTCATATAACCGTTAAAAATTTCATATTTTTACTTGAATAAAATTTTATTAATGAAAAGTTAAAAATTACAAAGAAATTGTCAATAAATGTTCACATCATGAAAGTAATTAATATCCAAATCCTCTTCTGTTATTAAATCCTTGATTAAACCCGCCACCTCTATTTGGACCACGATACCCTCCTTGATATCCTCCTCGCTGCTGATAGCCCGAACTGAATCCTCCACGATAAGAATCATTTCGGGGAAATTTGCTTCCTCCAAATCCAGACGAGCCTGGATGTCCAAAGTTTGATTCACGATCTGCTCCGATTCCGATTTCTCTTGTTATTTGGTAATCACCAGCAGAAAATTCTGCAAGCTTTTTAATGACACTCAAGATGTTGTTATATTTTTGATCTAAGTTTAAGACGTCTTCAGGTTGAGCGACAACATGAATAAGAATTTCTTCCATTGCATGACGCAATCCACAAATAACGGCAGCATCTTGAGGATTCATTTCAAAATTCAACCAATTATCAAGTCGAACAACACCTTCAACGTAATCAATCTTCTTGCATGCAAAAAGAATCAAATTTAAAGGCGAAACCATCGACATTTGTTTACATGAAACTGCTCGTGTTCTGATCTTCTCACCGAATACAAAGAATGGATAAGGAAATGTAACTTTTAAGTTAGAGCAATTGACTGATGTTTTATGAATAAGCGCAGCTTTTGATTCAGTTGTCAATACTTTACGCTTTTCCTTGTGGTAACAAATATTTGGATACAATCCAGCACTTAAAATTCCAAGAACTAAGTCTAATGTTGGATCTGGAATGTTTGGATCCATCTTTGTTTGAAGCATTGTTTCTTCAGGAAATCCCGCTTGATTCAACAGATCAAGTAACTGTTGAAGAAAGAAAAAAGTTTAATTAGACGATAAAGTTCAAATAATTTAACACAAACTTGTCTTTTAGCTTCGAAAGCGACACGAAATGTTGGCAATTGAAGTCCTTTCCATTCACAAAACTTTATTTCTTCACTTTCGCCACGATTTCTTGCATTCAACCACATTTGAGTTGCATTCACCATTGCAACATAATCTGAACTTTTATTTCCAGCTAAGTTTCTTTGATGATTTGAAAGTCTTCGATGGCCCATGTCGAGCGTGAATATTTCTGAATATGTTCCTGAAAATGCGGCCATAATTCCAAGAGTATCGCCAACCAGAAAAATATTTCCAATAATCATCATTCGTCCCAATCTCGGTTCAATCGGCAGACGAGCAAGAACTTTTCCCAATGGCGTCAATTCATCATTTTCATCAAGACATTTCATGTCTCTTAACAACACTTCAGCTTCAATAACAGCATCAAGTGGCGGTGGTTCAATAGCTTTCGAAAGAAATTGCCCAATAGCGCCCAATCTTAAAAGTTTGATACTCAAAGCAATTTCATGAAGTGGCGTTCTGAAGATTTCTGGCGTGTTGTGCTCCTCAAGCTTCTCAAATCGTGCTCGTGAACAGAGAGTGAAACAAATTCCTGGTCTAACACGACCAGCTCTTCCTTTTCTCTGCTCAAGATTTGTTCTGGATCCCCAAACAGTGGCATAAGAAGTTAAGTTGTTGTGACTCGTGAAAAGTTTCATACGAGCTTTAGCAATGTCAATGACAAAAACGACTGAAAGATTTTTTATGAGAATTTTGTAGAAATTATGTGTGAATTTGTGAATTAATTAAACTCACCATCATTAATTGTGATTGAAGTTTCCGCGATGTTCGTGCTGAGAATGATTTTAGTGACACCTGGCGGAACTTTATCAAAAACTTTTCTTTGATCTTCTCGTGGAAGTTGCGAATGCAATGGGAGAATGACATATTCAGAACTTCCCAATCGAGGATTATTTTGAAGATGTTTCATAAGCGCAAAGATAAGATTCCATCCTGGCAAAAAAACTAACACAGCGCCGTCCACTTTCATAGTCTTTATGTAAATAATCAAAGCTTCAACTAACTCAAAACTGACTTCAGATTCTGATAAATTTGCCATCGTGTTCTTTGTTTCAACTGAATATTGATTTCCAATGACTTTATTGCAATTAACTTCTTGATCATCATTTCCAATTACATCTTCCGATCCATCGTCATCTCCACCTCGTTTTCTCTTTCTCGAATCGGCTGTCGGTCCGATAAATTTCACAAGCTCAATCGTGTCTTCAAGAAAGTATTGTTTAACTGGAAAAGCACGACCTTCAACTTCAATGACTGGACAGTTTCCAAAGTAATCAGAAAATAGAGTTGTGTCGATTGTTGCTGACATTAAAATGACTCGCAGGTCTGGATAAGTTGAAACCATGTCCCGTAAGACGACCATAATGAAGTCACTGTTGACATCTCTTTCATGAATCTCGTCAACAATAACATGCGAAACACCTCGAAGACCGCGTTCGAGTTTTCTCAATAAAACTCCAATCGTACAGAATAAAATACTTCCATATGGTCGCGGCAACATCGACTCAAATCGCACCGAATATCCAACAGATTCACCAAGCAACTCTGCACGTTCATAAGCAATTCGTTCAGCTACTGATACAGCTGAAATACGTCTTGGTTGTGTCACCACAACATTGCACCATGCGCCTTTAAAATTCAATAATTTCCACCTTCAATCGTCTTTAAATAAATGAAAGAAATTTACCTGAACCAGAAGCAACAAAATCTTCCAAAATGAATTGTGCAATTTGAGTTGTTTTTCCTAATTAAAATATTTCACTTTTAATTAAATCTTGGCAAATAATAAGAAAAGATAAAATTTTACCACATCCAGTATTTCCACGAATTAATACAACTGAATGATCGTTAATCGTTTCCATGATTTCTCGTCGCATTGAATGAATTGGCAAAGTTTCTCGTGCTTTGGTGCGAACTTCTAAATCTCTGTCGTTTATCTTTCGTTCTCTTGCATTTGCTAGGAGATCATCACTTAGTTGATCTAAAGATGCAGTGGCTAAATATCCTTCATCAATGTTTGATCCATTCCATGGGTTCCAGTTAGGAATTGGAGGTGACCATGGAATGACACTTCCAGTGATTTGAAATGGTTGTGGATTTCTTTTGGGTTGTGGAACGTGAATCAATAAGCTTGTTGGATTCTCCATATTCACATTCGCATTGACATGAACTGGTTGAATTCCAAGATCAAGCAAAGCTTGTTTCGCTTGACTTATCAGTTGTGGATCAACTTTGACTGGATAATTTGGAATTTTATCCTCAGTTTTAGCTTTCTTTAAAGTTCCACTGTAAGCTTCAATAACGCCAAGATGGAAAAGTTGACGAACTAAACTTAATGCACATGATTTTGAAGCAGATTGTTTATTACTGCCAGTTTCACGACCTGTGATATATCTTCGCAGCTGATTAATGTAAATTGTCATTTCAGCCATAAAACTCCTGCAATGTTATCAAAGTTTCAATCTTCACATGTCATTGTGGTAAATTTAAAAACATTTCTGGCAAATTTCTCACCATTATTGGTCATCAATTAACCCCCAACATCATAAAGAAGGAAACACCTTTTAACAATAAATTAAAAAGTCAAATTTCATTCTACAAGTCAAGTCATTAAAACTTTTAATTAATAATTTTACAAGTCAACTTTTCTTTAAGTTAACTTCAAATTAAGTGCAATAAAGAATGGAATCTGACTTTTTAATACAAACATAAACAAAATTTCGGTGTTTCCAACTACATGCGTTTCTTTTTCTATCATAAATTTCACGAATAATTGGAAAATTATGATAGAGGATTTAATATAATTAAAAAAAAAGTGAAAACAATCTTACCGATTATGATCAGGTCCGACAGATTTATAATGAAATTCTCCTTTAATCTTATTTGCTTGCATGAATTGATTCAGCTTTGATTTGGCATTTTCTATTGTCCAATTTCCGTGAATAGACGCATTAACATCTAAACTTTCAGCTTCTTCCATTCGTGCTTGTTCTTGAGCTCTATCCATGTATGATTGTGGTCCAAAATCATTGTCATACTGTGCTGGTCTATAAGCACTTCCAAGTTGTTGAGGAGAAAACATTGATAAAGATCCGCTTTGAGGTTTTTCTTCAAAACTTGATGTTCCAGCAATTTCACTTGAAGAAGGTTGTGGTTGGTTGTCATTACCTTCATTCGGAACATCATTTTCCTTTATTTTACCGCTTCTTACCAGAAAGCTTACAAAATCTCGTGACGCGTTCTTTTCTGAATCTTTTTTTGTTGTGGAATTTCCCGCTCCTACATAAGGAAAACCAGAAACACGAACTTCACATAAAAAGCGTTGTCGAAATTTATTTCCTTTTGAAAAGTTAAACGAAAAACATTAATTTAATTCAATCTTTTAATGCGATATTCAACTTACCTGTAGGACGCACTTCAAATTGTGGATCCAACTTATTTTTTGAACACCATTCATGAAAAAATGCTTTGATATCTTGCGGCATTTTTAAATTCACTTTTTAAAGAAATCGAGAAATGATGGAGTATTGCTTTTCGTTTAATTAGCTGGCTAAGCAATAAATGTAAGAAACTGTTACTCTTGATTACTGATTTGAATTGTTGTTTTGTAATTTTTACAATATTTCAATTTATTTGTTTGACCATAACAAAAGATTTCGAACGAAAACATAAATTTCGAAAATGTGCGCTGTATTTTTTTGAAAACGGTGAAACATTTTTCATACTCGAAAAATTAGTTTCCTTTCAGAGACCATTCTGAACGTACATCTCATTTGATTTAAAGAGGAAAATTAAAAATAAATATGCCGAAATATTACTGTGATTACTGTGACACATTTCTAACTCACGATTCTCCTTCAGTTCGAAAGACTCATTGTACTGGAAGAAAACATAAAGACAACGTAAAATTTTACTATCAGAAATGGATGGAAGAACAAGCACAGCACCTTATTGATGCAACTACAGGTTTGTGTTTAATCTTCAATAACAATTGCTTGTTGAACTAAATAAATTCTATTTTTTATTATAGCGGCATTCAAAGCTGGAAAAATTGCATCAAATCCATTCGCACAGCCACCGCCTGGAGCAGGACCCATGGGATTACCTCCACGACCTGGTATGCCTGGTTTCAATCCTATGCTTCCACCTCCTATGGCACCACCAAATTTTGCAGGTCAACCCCCAAATTTTATGGGTTTCCAAGCAATGAGACCACCATTAAAATAAGCTGAAATCCTAATTATAATTTAACTTTTTTTATAATAATAAAATTGAAATTAATATCTAATTAAAAGAATATTAGCGGTTTTTGTTAATTGTTTTATTACAGGCTGTTTATTAATGATCGCAGGACATCCTCATGTTCGTACATAATTATGAATGCGGAATGTCCCATTTCAAGCTCTACGTAGTTTGACTTTATAATCCCCACAATAAACTGTGGGCATTTTAATGTGTGAGTGCATATACACCGTTTGAGCGGCCGCAGCTAACTTCCTAGTGCCCTAAAATTCATTTAACCCGAGCAGACCGAATTCGGGTTTTCATGAAATTACTCGTAATTTCAAAAATACAAAACTAAGTAAAAATATTAATTATAAATCATTTTATGTTGATATAGTTACAAAATTACATTTAGTTTGACTAGTTTTTGTTGTAAAATATGGATGAACGGTAAGTATGAGATGAAAAACATTTGAAAACGACCATGAAAAAAAGTATTTAAGAAACGTTTGCATTTGTTTATAAAATTTTTGTTTTTCTTTTCAGTTCCCAACAAAATCTTAAAATAAAAGCGATGGACGCCGCAAAAGCTGAAAAGAAACATAAGAAAAAGAGCAAGAAAGAAAAACATAAGAAGTCATCAAAACATAAGAAAGAAAAACGAAAAAAGAAACATCACAACATCCCATCGGATTCTGATGAGATTACATCAAAATTATCAGATGGTGCTTTAACACCTAAACTACCAATACCTTCAACTTTACCTCCAACAATAAATCTCGATGATGATCTATCTGCAGAAGATATCCGGAAATCAAAGGAAATTTTCTCAAAACTTATCGGGAAGCGTGAAAGTCAAGAGAATGGCGGCTCAAAGTTGAAGAAGCCAAAATTGATATCTACAGATCCAGATGAGCTAGTGAATATCATAACTAAGTCGTTAGATAGTAAAGCACTTCAGACTACTGTCGTATCATCAGAAACTGAAAGTGATGGAATGGTTGAAGAAGACTGTGAAAGTCCAGACGTGGCGGTGATTGAAGATGAGCTAAATTTGGATGAACTCATGCGACAAAAAGCTCTTCTTCAAGCATGTCTTGGAAATTATGTTTCAGATTCTGACCATGAAGAAGTCTCCAAATCTGAGCGTATTAAAACCACATCAAAGGAATCCAAACGTAAATCAGAGTCTGACGTGATTGTTTTGTATTCATCACCAGAACATCAAAAGAATGATGAGAATCGAAGAAGAAAAAGTCCTGTGGAAAAGAAATCAAGAGACGAAAAGAGAGAAGCTCGAGATTCGCCTCAACGATATGTTGAGAAGAAACGAGCAGAAGATCGACGTAAACGTGATAACGACAATCGATATAAAGAAGATTTAAGACGAGAAATCAACCGTGATAAAGACTTAGAACGGCAACGGCGCTCAGAGCAAGTTAGAAGAAGCAGAAGATCTCGAAGTAGAGATCGATATGACGACTATTATGACCGACGATCGATGGAACGTGACAGACGAGGTCGAGACCATCGCGATTCACGACGAGGATCATCAAGAGATCGCAACACAAGACGATACAGTGCCAAAGACAGAGACCGAAAAGGAAAATCTGATTCAGATAAATACAAAGGTTCACTTAGTGAAGGGTTGAAGCACGACAAAAATTCTAGCAGCAGTGAAAGTGAAATCGCTGACATTAAAATCGATGACGATGACGAAGATGAAGAGAAAATTATTGAAAATCGTCGTAAGCAACGTGAAGAGCTTTTGAAGAAGTTGGGAGCGCCAAGTGAAGACAGCAACACAATACAATCAATTGAATCAACACCGAATCTTAAGACTTTAGATGATGAAATGGTTTTCTTGAAAACATCTAAAGATAAGCAAACGTCAGCAGGTTCACCGACAATGGAAGTTTCTTTGACACCACCGATAGAAGAATTGAATGATAAAATCAAAGAGTCTGATGATTTTACAAAAGAAAAGCTCAAAACCAAAGAAACAAAGAAGAACGATTGGGATATGTTCGCTGAGCAAGATATTGACTCGAATTTTGATTCTCCAAATACGATCATTGGCACAACTAAACAATTAAGTGCTGAAAATCCTGCACTGACCGACAATTGGGATGATGCTGAAGGATATTATCGAGTTCGAATTGGTGAGACACTTGATAGTCGTTACATTGTCAGTGGATACACCGGTCAAGGTGTTTTCAGTAATGTTGTACGTGCGAAAGATCAAGCGAGAGGTGGTTCAAATGTAGCCGTGAAAATTATTCGAAATCGTGAACTGATGTGAGTTTTTCTTTAATTATTTTATTTTAAAGTTTCTCATTTTTCATATTTTCAGGCACAAGACGGGAATTCGTGAGTTGGAATTTCTCAAGAAACTTAACGACGCTGATCCTGAAGACCGCTATCATTGTTTAAGACTTTTCCGTCATTTCTATCACAAACAACATTTGTGTATGGTGATGGAGCCGTTAAGTCTTAATTTACGTGAAATCTTGAAGAAGTTTGGAAAGAATGTTGGTCTTCATATCAAAGCTGTTCGTAGTTACACGCAACAATTACTGCTGGCATTGAAATTGCTGAAGAAAGTTGGAATCTTACATGCAGACATCAAACCGGATAACATCTTGGTGAATGATTCAAATTTAGTTTTGAAGCTTTGTGATTTTGGTAGCGCATCTTTAATAACTGACAATGAAATCACGCCGTATTTAGTGTCTCGTTTTTATCGTGCTCCTGAAATCATTCTGGGCTTAAATTACGATTATGGAATCGACATGTGGTCAGCTGGATGCACAATTTATGAATGTAAGAAAATGTTTTCTTCATCATTTCATCTTTCTAAGTCATTCTTTCCTTTTATCGTTTCAGTATACACAGGGAGAATTCTATTCAGTGGCAAATCAAACAATCAAATGCTCAAATGTTTCATGGATCTTAAAGGAAAAATTCCTAATAAAGTGATTCGGAAAGGACAATTTAAAGATAATCATTTCGACACAAATGGAAATTTCTTATCACATGAAGTTGATAAAATTACTGAAAGGGTAAGTTCATCAAATTCTTTCATTTTAAGTATCTAACTTTAATTATTGATTTTCTGTTTTTCTAGGATAAAATCGTTGTAATCAGTGTCATAAAGCCAATTCGTGATTTACAACAAGAGTTGGTAGCTAATCAAAATTTGCCAGAGGAGCAAATGCGAAAAGTTGGTCAATTAAAAGATTTACTTGATAAAGTTTTTTCCTTAGATCCTTCTAAAAGGATTTCTTTGAACCACGCACTTGCACATCCGTTTATTCAGGACAAGATATAAAAGAAAGTTTAAGGTTTAAAACTCTTACAAATCGATGGCTTGCAAGGCTGATGGAGGTAAACCTCAAAAAATCAAGTTGATTCAATCATAACTATTTCATTAATTAAATACATTAAATAGCTTGCTGTGCTTAGTCAATATTTTGATAATTAAAAAGTCAGACATTTGGGTGACAAACAACAAAAAAAAAATTAAACAAAAATCATCTTTTACTTAGACGTTTAATCATATTAAATATTTAGATTTTAGTCTTTTAATTGTAAAAATTTCTTTCTTTTGAGATGACGAGAATTAGGAAAAACAAAATTTAAATGAAACTCTTACAAAATGATATTTTTAAAAGTTATTTTATTTCCTCTGCAATTTCAGAGCCTGAAGAAGCCCAAATTGAAAATGTGTTAAAGAACAACAATAAAATGAAATGATGTTCTTTAGGTAGTGACATTAACAAAAAAATCATTTAAATATTTATTCTCTAAAATTGAATAAGAATCAGAATAAATAGTTTTCCCTTTTTCTTTTTTTTTGGTGTCTTTACAGATTTCATGCTTCAGATGGACGTTGATGATAACTTCTCTAGTCTCTTCCTAATCTCAGGGATAAAATTTGAGAAAAACTCTCTTCATGGTTTGTTTTTTTGTTTTGTTTTAATATAATTGAAACATTTTATGTTACTTACAAAAAAATAATAATGACAGAATGAATATTCGAGTGATGATTAAAATCTAAAAAACAAAACTAAATCTTCAATACAGACGAATTAAAAAGAAACAAAAATTTTATAAAAGAGTTGCGACATAGTTCAATCACTTGACTTGAATGTAACATTTAATCCTCTCAAAATTTGATCATTTAATCGCTGCTACATTACAAATGGTTTAAACAATAAACCAGAAAGGAAAGAACGAAAAGTTTTCTTGTAATTTTTAAGACACTGAAACAACTGAAGATGTTTAAATGTAACAGACATCTCATAAGTTATCTTCATGTTCTGGTAGAGTCATAAACTGTTGAAGTGAATTGCAATTCTCAAGTGCTGGCAATTTCTGCATTCCTATCGATGGTGTACTTTGAAGTTGAAGTTTAACACTTTTGATTTTCCAGTTGTTATCAGAGAATGGATCTCGCATAAGTCCAAACACAGACTCAAAGAATCCGACTGCTACGGAAGCCTGAGTGTGAAGAGTTCCACAACACAGCACAAGAACAATTCCATGATGTTCCATTCTTGAAGTGAAAATAATCAATTTAATTTCAGATTTCAAAAGTTGTCATTCAACTTACTTTCCTCTTGTTCCTTCATAACTTAAGTTGGGATTGAAGTAAAAGTTGAATTGAGTTTTTGTTGAGAATAGTAAATTAAGAACAAGAGCAGATGTGATTGTTGAATCTTCTTTCACATCTCCTGAACTGTCAATTATTTTTATCACGCAAGTGCTGTCGCTCCAAAAGTCGTTGATTTGTATCGTATTATCATTGAGATTCTTATAAAACCAACTAGAGAAATTTCTTGACATTACGTTCACTGGAAAATCTTCTGATTTTTTGCTGAGTCGTTCAATTGAGTGTTGATGTTGCTGTTGAAATATGTGCTGTTGACTTGCTATCGGTTGACGATTTCCATGTTCTGTACTTCTCCAAAAGTCTATCACCTGCTCTACAAGTGATGTCTTTGTGAAATTATTTGTCACTGCGATATTGTTGTCTGTTAAGTACTTTAAAAGTATTTCTTTGCTTATTGGTTTTCGATTTAAGATGCTCGAGACAGACTCGGAGTGCAAAAGAACTATTTTGTAAGCATCTGAAATAATTAATAAGAAATACATATTTTATAAGAAAGGAATTATTGTTAACTTTACTAACCATTAAGTGTTAAATGAGTTAAAGTATTCTTTGTTATGGTTTTCGCTATCGATATTAACTTTTTCTCATTATCCGTGTGATGTCTGAAAAATTCCATCAATCTCGAACTTTCATATTCGCTTATAGCAGTCATTTTCACTTAAATATTCCAACTTTTTCATAAATTTGCAACCAACTCTATTATCAATACTTTTAATTTTATTGAAGAAGAAATAATGTTTAACTATTACAAAATTGATTATTAAATTTCAAAGGAAAATTTTTGTTTATTTTTTGCTCGAATCTGACAGGCGGACAATGAAAGACTTTCAGTTGGTTTTCACAGAAATGTTATGCATAGAGGATTATCCAAATCTTTACTTTTCTCTCATCGTATCTAAAAATTGAATAACAGAGAATTAAAAAACACATTTTACATTAGTTTTGCAATGGCATACCGAATAATTTCAAGCGCCTGTAACAGACACTTCGAACGACTTGTCTTGAATGATCTCGGCAGATGTAGTTTATCCAGAAATTTAAAAGTAAGTTAGTCGTGAGAAATGTGAAATTAATTTCATTTTCATGATATGAGACTTAAATTTCACAACAAATTTTTTATCTTCCAATAGTTTAAACATGATTTAGCATTTCTTACACGCAATGACGAACGAATCTCTCTGTTCGAAGCATTTTTAAACCGATGGAAAGTTTTGCTATCAGGAGAGACACCGAAAGGTTTTGGAGCTATCTTGAAGCAAGAGAAATCGTCTGATGCATCTGAAGACAAGCCAAATAAATCACAAGATTCCACTAAGCCACCTTCCTCCAAACCATCAAAGTCATCGGCATCTTCTGATGCTAACAAACCGCCACCTGACTGGAACTTCGGTATGTTCGGACCAAACCATGCGCCTGGCGGTAAAAGTGGAAGCAATTCGGGCCAAGGGAGACCCATAGGAGGTGAACAACCACCCGACCAGACGAGAATGTTATTGTTTGGAGCTTTAGGCTTCATTGCTTTCGTTAGTGCATTAACATTTTTCGAAATGGGATACAAAGAAATTTCATGGAAAGATTTCGTGAATAAGTAAATTAATTAACTTTTCTGTGAAATTCTTTCACATTTAAATTAATGTTTTTCAGTTATCTTACCCGTGGTGTCGTTGAGAAACTTGAGGTTGTCAACAAAAAATGGGTTCGCATAAGACTCACGCCAGGAAATTCAGCATCTGATGGAGTTTTATGGTTTAATATTGGAAGTGTCGACTCATTTGAGCGTAATCTGGAAAATGCTCAAACAGAACTCAATATTGAAGCAGTAAATTTCATCCCCGTCATTTATAAAACTGAAATCGAAGCATCAAGCTTAAGTGGGCTCTTACCAACATTATTAATCATAGGATTCCTCATTTACATGATGAGACGATCTGCTGACATGATGGGAGGTCGAGGAGGTCGTAAAGGTGGTGGGCTCTTTGGTGGTGTCATGCAAAGCACTGCAAAACTTATCAATCCTAATGAAATTGGGGTCAGATTTTCGTAAGTTGTTCTTCCATATCATTTTTTAAATGTTTTAAATGTTTAAATTTCTTAGTGACGTTGCTGGATGTGAAGAAGCAAAAATTGAAATCATGGAATTTGTAAATTTTCTTAAAAATCCACAACAATACATTGACCTAGGCGCTAAGATTCCAAAAGGTGCAATGCTTACAGGACCACCTGGAACTGGTAAAACTTTATTAGCAAAAGCAACAGCTGGTGAAGCAAACGTTCCTTTCATAACTGTCTCTGGTTCTGAGTTTCTTGAGATGTTTGTTGGTGTCGGTCCATCAAGAGTACGTGACATGTTCGCAATGGCACGTAAACAAGCACCGTGCATCTTGTTTATCGATGAAATCGATGCTGTTGGAAGAAAGCGAGGTGGAAAATCGTTTGGTGGTCATTCAGAACAAGAGAATACTTTAAATCAATTGCTGGTAGAGATGGATGGCTTTAACACGACAACAAATGTCGTTGTGCTTGCTGCAACAAATCGAGTTGACATTCTCGACAAAGCTCTTATGCGTCCAGGTCGTTTCGATCGTCAAATCTTTGTTCCCGCACCAGACATTAAAGGACGCGCAAGTATTTTCAAAGTGCATTTAGGTCCGCTTAAAACAGAAATTAATAAAACGGAATTGGCACGAAAGATGGCAGCTTTGACTCCTGGCTTTACTGGCGCTGACATTGCCAATGTTTGCAACGAAGCTGCTTTGATTGCAGCCCGAGACATGAACACTTCAATTATCATGAAAAATTTTGAGCAAGCAATTGAAAGAGTGATTGCTGGCATGGAGAAAAAGACAAATGTCCTTGCGCCAGATGAGAAAAAGACTGTAGCTTATCACGAAGCTGGTCATGCTGTTGCTGGATGGGTCTTGGAACATTCAGATCCACTTTTAAAAGTCTCCATTATTCCTCGAGGAAAAGGTCTTGGCTACGCTCAATATCTTCCAAAAGATCAATATCTGCTGTCAACTGAACAACTTTACGATAGAATGTGCATGACATTAGGCGGACGAGTGTCGGAAGAAATTTTCTTTAAACGAATCACAACAGGCGCTCAGGATGATTTAAAGAAAGTCACTGAAAGTGCTTATGCACAGATTGTTCGGTTTGGTATGAATAAGAAGGTTGGAAATGTTAGTTTTGACATGTCACAGCCCGGTGATCCGATGTTCAGTAAGCCTTATTCAGAACAAACTGCACAATTGATTGATGAAGAGGCGAGAACATTAATCGATGGAGCACATAAAAGAACGACAGATTTACTTATGAAGCATAAAGCAGATGTTGAGAAAGTAGCCGAACGTTTGTTAAAGAATGAAATTCTTAATCGTGAAGATATGATAGAACTTTTAGGCAAACGTCCATTCCCAGAGAAATCGACTTATGAGGAGTTTGTTGAAGGTACGGGAGGATTGGATGAAGAAACAGATTTACCATCAGGATTGAAAGATTGGAATAAAGAAAGAGAAACAAAAGAAAATCCTCAAGCTGAAAAGAAGTAAAAATAGAAACGAAACTTTATCTTAGCTTATTTGAGTTGTTTAGTCAAAGAAAAAGAGAAAAAAGATGTTTACAAAGTTTAATCAATTTGCATTCAAAGATTCAACATTAAGTGAGAAAATAATAAAAGAAAGAATTTTCACAAATTTCATTCGTTGATTATTTGATTGTACGATTTTCCAAGAGATTTTTTACTATTTTTAATGTAATTAACAGCTGATCGAAGTGCGATGATGAACTCAATTAAAGTTGAACTGTTTTTGTTTTTTAAGAAAATTGCATGAGCGAGAAAAGGTAATTTGCGTAATGTTCGTCCACTAAGTCCAATTGAATCTTTGGACAACTCAATCATTAATTCAGCAGTGGCACTTGGTAAAGATGATTGAAGATCTTGGAAAGTTTCTTTTAATTCATTTTCTCGTTCGTCAATTTTCAAATTGTTGATTAATTCTTTCTCGCTCAACTCGATTATTGACGATGAAATGATTTTGTAAATGGCTTCTAGCGACGGTTCAACAATATGTGTGACAATGTCTGCTCGATCAAGAAATGCATGATCAATGCTTGATGTAAGATTGCTTGTTGTTATCACAAGAACATTCGGATATTTCTTTATACGATCGAGTTGAGTGAGAAAAGCGTTTACAACTCGCACTGAATCTGATGGTTCGTTATTAGAAATATTTCCACGAGCATAAGCGATCGACTCAACTTCATCAATTAAAACACAAACGAGACTTGAATTTGTCTCCACGATCTCTTGAATTTGTTGAAACATTTTTTGAACGAGCTTTCCACTTTCTGAGAACCATTTACTGAACAATGAATGACTGTTGATCTCAAAAAGATGTGTGAATGGAAACGTCGGTTTCATTCGTATGGAAAGCTTTTGTGCAAGAGCTTTTGCGAGAGAAGTTTTACCAGTTCCAGGAGGGCCGTGAAGTAGAATTAGTCGATTACATGAAACGATGTTCTGATTGATGTTCTTTTGTGAAAAAAGCAAAATTGTTTGAGCAAAATCTAGCAATTCCTCTTTAAGATTTCCGTCATAAATTAGCGACTCCCAAAGGTCAATAAATGTCTCATCTATATTTGGAAGCATCCAATGTGTTGAAGCAGCTACTTGCTCATCATCATTGCCTTCAATTGATTCAGTTTCGGCTCCTTGATCATGATACTCGAAGTAAATACAATTCAAAACGGGTTTTTCAGGATTAATCTAAAAAAATAGAACTAATTAATAAATTTATCATCAGATTTCTTTCACATAACTTACAGGTATATTACAAATTGTGATTGAATATATTTGCTCTTTAAAATCATTGAATTCTGGAAATGTTTTAGAAGGAATTTTCAAAATCATTGATTTATGAATTCTTTTCTTCGATATCATTTCAAGTATCCCATTTTCGATCAATTCTTTTTCTACAGAAGCTTTTCGTTTAGCTATTTCAACTATAACACTCATGTTTGATATTTTTTATTTACAGATTTTCTTTTAATATGCTTGCTTCTTTTATGAATTTCTTTACAAACTTGTTTTGAGTGTTTTACTGACCGACAATTTAAAATTTAACAAGGGGAATAGAAATTCAAATTGGAGGAATTTCAAATTTAAAAATATTCATAACGATCGTAAACAGGATTCTTATTCTAATAATCATTGCTTATCAATGAATCTGAATTCAGAATGACATAACGCGAGAATGATAACAAAACTTACTTCAATGTCTTATTATTCAACATATTTTTCCTAATTTAGAATGCTTGATAAAACCAATTAATCTTTATTGAACTTTTTAATAGAACTTAACTATTCAAACATTCCAATTAAAATAATGCTGAAAATTAGAACATTTTAAAAATTGCTGTTTCATGAGGTTGAAGTTTTTTCAGTTTCGACTGTAGAAATTGCTGAATAAGGTTGAATAGTAGGACTCACGCCAATCTCATATGGGAAAGAAGGGACTGCGTATGGTATCAATTGAGGGTAGTACACTGGAAATGGCTGATATTGCGGCAGTACATAATGCGCTGGAGAAATTTGCTGATAAGGCATTGGCGATGGTGGAATACTCGAAGGCACATTGCTAGTTGATGTAACAATATCAGTACAAGGTTCGTTTCTACTCGTGCACTTAAAAATTCTTCCTAAAATCTTAATAACTAAATGAAATTATAGAAAATATCTTTCACCTATGACTTTCATAAATATTTACTTAATTTAACTGGCGTTCCACAATAACTTTTAATAACAAATAGACAGCAACAGATTAGCATTAATTGAATTATAACTAATAAAAGGACAGTTCCTTCTGCCATACTTTATCAAACTTCAACTGCTAACAAAAAAATAAACAATACAGAAGATTAATAACTGAACAGCAGACAATCGTCACACTTCTTTTATATTATTTTTTTATTTCAAGAAAATTTATTTGAACAAAAGATTTAAATGCATGGTTTCTTATTGTTTATAATCTGTTTGTTATCACTTGACTTATTCTATATCGACCTTTAGCTTCATTTTATCTCTTAAATAATTCAAAACATTTTCTGTAACTTCAATCGATCCATGATTTAATCCAAAGGTTTTAAATTCTGTAATGTTTTTTCTAGAACCCTTTCCGCTTCTAGCTCATGTTGAAAGTTCGCGCATTTCTGTTGCCACTCTTTTTTCTTAGTATAGACTAAAACTTTATGCAAGAAATCTTTACGGTCTTTAACATATTGTTGCACATCAATTGCTCCTTCAAGAAATTTCTTCTTTTCCTCATCAAGAATAGAAGAATCATAGACAGGAAGTTCTTTTGATTTCGCTCTATAATTGCATAAAATGTTAGAAACAATCACTTCATTATGATTAATATTGTCTTACTTTTTAATCTTCTTCTGGTTACTTCTAATAATTTCTATCCAGTCGGCTCTTTCCGCTAATAAAGATTTAAGATATTGTCTATCTGCTTCTTTCTTTTCTTCTTCACTTGGATTAACGTTAAAAAAACTTGATCGACGGTTAGTTTTTTTATCTTCTTTTTTAATTAAATTAAGTGGTGAATTCTGATATTCCATTATAAAGAATAATTAAGTTTTTTGATTTGTTTACAAAGGCACAAATGACAGTTGAAAGTTTTGAAAGATGCTAACATTGAAGTTTCCTAATTGTTAGTATACGCATAATTGTCAGCCTGTCCATTTTTTGACTTGACTTAAAGACTTGACTTGTGTTTATTTTTCGCACTTTCAAGTCCTTCACTTATAAAATTCCGGCAAAATTGAAAAATGGCAGAAATTGAATTAAATAATAAGAAATGGGGTCATTTGAAAAAGATCCTTGAACGTAGTGGACCCTTTGACACTGTCAATTTCACACCATCACCAAGTAATCTTGAGTTTTTGATGACAAGTTGCAAAATCCTTGTAATCGGTAAGAAGATTTTGTAATAAAAATATGCAACAAACAAATTTTGCGATTAATTTTTTTCAGGAGCTGGTGGCTTGGGTTGCGAACTATTGAAAGATCTTGCCATGATGGGTTTTAAAAACATTGACGTTATTGACATGGATACTATTGAATTATCCAATTTAAATCGTCAATTTTTGTTTCGTCGTAAAGATATTGGAGCATCTAAAGCGCAAGTAGCAGCTGAATTTATCAACAACAGGATTCCTGGTACAAAAGTCACTCCACACTTTTGTAAAATACAAGACTATGATGACTCTTTTTATCAGGATTTTCATATTATTGTTAGTGGATTAGATTCAATTGTCGCTAGACGTTGGATTAATGGAATGTTGATCTCAATGTTACGCTATGAAGACGACGGTTCCTTAGATCAGACATCTATCATTCCTTTAATTGATGGTGGTACAGAAGGGTTCAAAGGGAACGCTCGTGTCATTCTTCCTGGTATGACTGCCTGCATAGACTGCACTTTGGATCTTTTTCCACCTCAAATTTCTTATCCTTTATGTACGATCGCTAACACTCCCCGTTTGCCTGAACATTGTATTGAATATGTCAAGATTATACAATGGGATAAAGAGAATCCATTCAAATGTGCTTTAGATGGTGACGATCCTGAACATGTCACTTGGGTCTATGAAAAAGCTCAAGATCGTGCAAATTGCTTTAACATCACGGGATTGTCATATCGATTGGTTCAAGGAGTTCTTAAGCATATCATTCCAGCTGTATCATCAACGAATTCAGTTATAGCTGCTGTCTGTGCTACTGAAGTGTTTAAGATTGCAACCAGCTGTTATGAGCCGTTGAATAATTATTTGGTTTTTAATGATATTGATGGAATTTACACGTATAAGTATGAAGCAGAAAAGAAAAGTGATTGCCTTGCTTGCAGCTCAATTCCTAAAGTTATCTCAATTAATAATCCCAGCTCAATGACACTTCAAGATCTTATCGATTATCTTTGTGATAGTTCCGAATTTCAATTGAAAAATCCAGCTTTGACTACAAGTATCGATGGTAAAAATAAAACACTTTACATGTCAGCTGTTAAAAGTATTGAAGAACAAACTCGAGGAAACTTAACACAATCGTTGCATGAACTCAATTTAGTTGACGGTCAACAATTAATGGTTGCTGATGCAACAAATCCAAACACAATTGTAGTAAAGTTGAAATTCACTGCAAATGAAGTTGAAATGTACTAATAAGAAATGGTTTTGTTAAAAATATTATTTAAAAAATTCTCAATAAAATTTGTTTGGAAAGTTTTGTGATTTCAAAAAGGAAAAATTTTGTCTTTTGGGAGAATGGATTGAAATTCCTGGGGAAATTCTTTTCTTTAATTTTAAATGTTTGAATCTTTTTCGAAAACATAATACATAAATAGACAGAACAAATAATTAATGTAGCCCACAAAATGCTGACGATTTATTTAAAGATCAGATTTGCTTCTACACCCACATAAAAATATCTTCTTGCCATTTTCCGTTAAATAAATATTTTTCTCACAACCGAGAAAAATCAATTTTGACACTTTTGATGCAACATGAATATTAAAAATATTTTCCTTGCGCATTCGACATTATTTTCCTTTTCAAAACAATTATCTTAGCTTATCGCGTTATCATAAAATCAAGTATAAAAGAATGAAACATTTTATAGAAATTATCAGTTTAATGCTGTTCATCAACAAGTGAACGTTAAGTAGAAACAACTACAAAGTGAAGTGAAAGTGCCAAAGGAAGAAAAAAAGACTTAAAATGGGTTACATTTCACTAACAGTTTTAACATCACTCACTATTTTGTTGGCTTACAGCTTTTTTGTCACTGGTGCACAAGCTAAGCATTTAAACTCCGAGGAAGCATCACCGCAAAATGTAATTGATGGATTACAAAAGCAGCCAACGCAAACAATTTTCTTCAAAACTTATCCAGTTAGACGGATGAAACCTTTAAATTCATTTGGAGGTTACAAAAGAAATTTTAAACCCTCCGAACTTGACATTTCTGACGATGCAATCAACGAAATTGAAAAACGTTTCGATGATTATGGACATTTAAGGTAACACATTTAATGATTTTATTTTATTTTATGTAAACGTTTTAAGTGATGAACTTTAAAAGGTTTGGCAAACGAGGTGGCGGTGAAGGAGATGGGTTCGATGACTATGGTCACATGCGTTTTGGAAGATAAGTTGACATCTCTCATAAACATCAAAGTGAATGATGAATGGCTGTAAATTATTCAATTTGATGAACATTTCAAAATGACACGACACATTCTTTATTATCCATTTCGCGACCTAATGACATGAAATCAGAAGTTACATAATAATTGTTTAAATGTTTGAAATTATTGAGAAGAGAAAGAAAAAAAGAAATAAATCAGTTCTGATATTCTCATTTGAATTATTTGCATGATTCCGTCCATTTGCGAAGAGTTTCAGGTGATCGATAAAGAAATAAAAGTTTGGCGACTAAATCTTCTTCCAATGAAAATTCCTTGGCTTCTCGAACAAAATAAATGTCATTACATAAATTAATAATTTTGTCGACATTTGGAAGTTCTTCAACGATGATTGTCACTGTGGACATGTTGAAGATTGTTGCACGGAAGAAACGACAGAAGATGACGATGAGTGAAACATAAAAACTGATTATGCTAAAAATGAATCATTAAAGCTATCAGATTAATGTACATTAAACGATTGACATTTACCCTTTAACTAAATAGTTATTTAATGGTTCTAATTTACTAACAAGTGATTTCTGATTGAAATAGATAACTTCAAGAAAATCATTGCAAACGTCATGCGGCTTAAGGCATTTTTCGCCTAATTTTCCAGACACTTCCCACCACTTGGAATTATCAACGTTGTGAAGTTTCAAGAGAATTGATTTTAAATCTAATGAAAATTGAATAAATCGAGTAACAAAAATTTAAAAAGCATCTCACCAATCAATTCTTTCAGAAATAAAATTTTTCCCATTCGAAGAACTCGCAAATATTTTGGAAACACATTTCCAATTTCAATTGATGTTTCCGATCCATTTTTGATCATTTCAATAAGTTTTTCTTTAAGATCAATGCCACTGAAATCTACTTCGGTTGAATCTCGAATCACATCACTACGACGAGTAAGTAAATTTTGTTGCGAAATTTGATAAGTGAAACGAAAGGTGTTTAATTTGTTCTCTTTGATTATTTTAATCAATTCTGCTTGTCTTGGTGGTGAAATATTCCATATTGATGATGAATGTTTGCTGAATAGTACAACTGCAATATCAACAGCATTGAATTCATTTAGAAGTGTTTTCGCATCATTATTCTTCTCAAAACCAAGACGAAAATTTCTCCATTCCTTTTCAGTCATTTGACGAACATCTGCGGAATTTGCTTGAGATTTGTAAATTTCAAAGTTTCCAATGAAGAAGCTTAAAGAGAAATCTTTTGGTATATTAGGCTGGCCAAGTTCATCTTGATAAGCAAACAATGCGAGAGGAAACCAAAGCACTGTAATGAGTAATATTGAAATGACTCCCCCTAAAATTAATTTATCCCACCAAGGTCTTTTCTTAGCTCTTGGCATTCCTTTGTTAGTGACCCTAGCACATTTAATACGAAATACTTCAGCATGAATCGATTCAACTCTTAACCATTCAGAAAATGTTAAAGAAGTTGCTGTGAACATCCAATCGATTACTGTTCGAAGTTCAAATAGGAAAGGAATCAACATGTATCTGTAATTAATTAAATTTTGAATAAACTTCAACTTGAAACTAATTTAAAAGACACAAATTTACATTTTAAATGAAATCAATCGTATAGAACCGTAAGAACTCATCAGAAAATTTCCACTTGTTCTTGCAGGATATCCACATCTGATTTGATAAGCTGATAGTAATAAATAAATGCATTTGATAATGTAGAAGAGAATTGGCCAAATCTTTTCATTCATCGTTTGATCTTTGAAAAGTGGCAACATGATGAACAACCATATGTGGGTGTAGATAACAATGAAGACATGAAAAATAAGTTTTGCTTTCATTTTTTTACGAATATAAAGTGCCCTGTCAATTGTTATCATCAAAAATTGTAGAATGAGTAAAGTTAAAAGTGTCGTTGGAATTTTATTTTCTTGAATGAAGTTTAAAACTGAAGGTTTTCGTTTTGTTGAAGGATGGAACTGGAAATGAGTATAAATGAGTAGCGATTAAATATTTTTTTGAAGAAAACTTACATCAAAATCATGAAATCCAAAGACAAGAATGAAGAAATTTATGAAATCACAAAGGAACATGTACTTATACACATCAACACGCTTTCTTAAAGCTTTCTCTTTAGCATCGTTCATAACATGTGACTTCAATTGCAAATGATGTTTTAAAGACATTATTGAAGACGTGGGAAAGAAATCAAATGGTTCTTCAATCAAACTTTCAATTTCCACCAACTGATTTGATGAGAAAATATTTTGAGAATATTCAGAGATTTCCAACATTCTCAAACTCAATTGAATGTCATCTTGAAACAATTTGATTAAAATTTGATTATTTCTATCCATTGAAATTATTTCGTAAGCTTTCATTATTTCATTTTGATTTTTATAAATAACTTTTATGGTTTTTTTATTTAAAGTTTCATCCAAAACTTTCAGTTCATGTCGCATCAAAATTTTACGATCCAAAATGTTTTCATCGTTTATGAGAAGTTCTGAACTATTTGTTGAAACTTCTTGATAGTCATGTCCATTTGTTTTGAAAGCAATGTTATTGGCTGAACAAAATTCAATGAGATTAGCTGTGTTCACATCACATTCAATGATTTCAAAAAATCCTTCTTCTAATTGAAACTTCATAGATGACTTCCAAAGACCAAATTTCTTCAAAACCGATCTTTGCATGAAAAGTGCAACTAGAAGACACAAATCTGACACAGCAAATTCATGAAATTGTTGGAGTCCAAGGAAATTTATGGAACTTTTGGTTGGTATCCATGATAGAAAATTAAATTTTGATAATAATCGAAGGAAAATGAAGCATTGCGTGTAAGCAATCATAATGACCCAAAATGTTTTCGATGGTTGTGGAAATTGTAGGAAAGCCCAGAGAAACACCAGTAGGGTTAATGGAAGCAGGAAGACACACGAACTTTTGATCTGGAAGGAAATTTAGCACTCAAATGAATTGAAAAATTTCAATAATCTAACCTGAACAATTATAAGCAGTGAGTACACCAAAATGTCTGTCAATGATAAAAGAAAATAAAAAATCGCCTTCAAAAAATCACAGATTTGTAATGAATTCGGAGGTTTGTATTGATCAAGATTGATTGAAGTTATTCGTTTCCTGTGAACGATAAAATGATATAAAAATGTTAGTTAAAGTGAAAGCTAACATTACAATTTTTTAAGTAAATGATGAATAATTGCTTGATTTTGACATCCCATAAAATTGTTAAAGTTATAATTTCTGTAATAATATTAAATTAATTAAAAATGTTAAATAAATCGCTTTGTAACTTACGAAAGCGTTTTGTCCATCAGTTCAGACTTTTCGATTGTGCTTTTCAATATTTTCTTATCTTCTGATAATATCTCAATGATGATGATTTGTTTCCTTGATAAGTTATGCATTTGAATGACAATTTTCATTAACATTCTCAGAATGTATTCTTGAATTTTGTTATTCATCTTCTTTTTAGAATTTTTCATCTTTTTTTTTGATGTTTGATCAGTGATCTTCACTTCTGATGTCTGATCGATATAAATGCTGTCAACTTCCACCATTTCTTTTGAATTAAATTTATTGTCATCAAACATGTAAGAACCTCCACTATGAATAACTGCGTCATGACAATCCATAATAATTCTTTGATTCCCCATAGAACAAGTCGACTTCTTAATGTTCTCCATTTTAAATCTCAAACTCTTAAGATTTTCATGTTCTTCATTAATTTGTTGTCTCACTTCAGATATTCTTAATTCTTCCAGCAATTCCAATCCCCTCGATGCCAAAATTGAAGATGCAAAGGCATCGTAAATGGTGTTATAAAAATAGAAGCTACGAAAGATTTTCCTTTGAATTATCATCGCCATTAACGTAATTCCATCATAAAAATATGAATAATGGTGTATCGCAATTTCACATGAAATTGGCCAGCTAACAAGCATCGAAGAAACATTTAAAACTTCTGAACAAAACAATGCTCTGAGTGAAACTTTAATTACAATGACAATTAGAGAGTACATAATAAATCCATTCCACCAGCAGTTAATTGACTTTAAAGGCTTCAAGAAAAAGTTTGTACCAATCCATAGGAAAATAAACACTCCAAATATATAGCCAAGCGAGAAAACGTCCTTCGATTGTGATCCGACAACAAAAATAATCAAAAGCGTTATCCAAAAGTGAATTCGAAAGATGTATTGCTTAAAAAACTTCATCGGATTATTATGCTTCCCTTTAAATTCATAAAATAAGTGTTCGTCTGAAGTGAAATTCATTTTCGTAAATGGAATGTTACTGCCTCCACCTTCAAATATTCCTAAAGCTTGTCTAGACTTTTCTTGGTTGAAAACTTCAAGCTGAAAAGTATAAAATGGTAAACATTGTTCAATTTAAATTTAATTTAAGATTACCTGACACAGCATGCACATGAATAATAAATAGTCGAAAATCAACTTTTCTGGATGCTTTACAATGCTTGTAAAAAAATTGATTACAACTTTCTCCAACTCCATCATTTCATTGTTCTTGTTGAAAAAATATGTGACGAGACAATTTCGTTCTAAAATCACCGAAATCAACATCATAGTTTGAGCAATGATAGAAACTGCAATAACAACAGTTAAAACTTTCCACAGCCATTCAATTCTAGTTCTATCTCGGAACAGAATAAGAATCCATAAAGTAATGTAGAGAAGTGCAACTAAATCCGCATGTGTGAGAATTAAAATCATAAACATCAGTAAAGTGATTTCAATTCCCAATTTATAGAATCCATAATTAACAAGAAATTTCAAAAGATTTTCAAAGGATTCGTCAGCATGTTGACGTGAAATGTCTTCAAAAACTATTTTAGGGGTAGAGTCGGGTAATCTGTTGACTCGTCGCTTCCTTTTTTGTCCTCTTTCAAGACTCACTGAAATTGTTATTAATATCACATAAACGATGAATGGAAAAGTTGAATGAATTAATTCTTCTTGAAGCACCGGTGAATTATTTGAACCTTCTTGCAATGCTTTTGTTACATTTGTTAGATGACATGCGTTACTTAAAGTTTCTGTCATCAAATTGGAATCCACTAAGAAATTTATCATCCTGAATATGATGAGAATCATTGATGCAATTGAAATTATGATCGATAAGAATATTTTAATTGTAGTCTTGTTTGTCATAGATCCAAATGTCAAAGTCATAATTATGCATAAATCCACAAAATTATTCTAAAAACAAGAAGAAATTTTGACGAAAATTCGAAATGAATTTTATAAATTTAATTTACGTTTTTAGCTGCCAACCAAAACAAAGAAATGAAGAGAATTTTGAAGAGATGAATTTCAAGCATCAATAAAAGTTTTTCAATTGCTTTTGATGAATACTTTCTTAGCTTAAATTTATATTAAAATTGTTTTAGATTTATAAAAATGAATCAAATTGAACATTCTCACCTGTTCAAAATCTTCTGCTAAAATATTTCCTTCATGAATTTTTAAATATTTGTTGTGAAAAGAATTCTTCTGCAGGCCGGTCAGAACGATGATCAAAGTGAATGGCAAAAGCTTGACGAAAAGTTTTCCGATTAAATATTTTTTTATTCCAATCATTTTCAACCATTGATAAGATGGAAAGTCATCAAATTGGAAGATATAAATTAAGATTAATGCAGTCATTGCATAAGATATTAAAGTTGTCCAGAAGAAATTCATAATCTTCATCCACAATTTAAATGAAATTTGAAAAATCAGAATGAAGGAAAGCACGAAAGTCATATTGATGATTCTAAATAAAGACATTTCTTTGCCGGTGACACTCATTATGAAAAGTGCTACGATTATTATCCACATCCACCAATGAACACAAAACTTTTCTACAACTCGAATTAATTTCTTTTTCCAACTTTTCTTCTTTCTCTCACGTTCACTTTTTATCAACATCAACACAGCTTCTTTGAAAGTTAAAGGTTTCTTATGTCGTGACATATTTTTCTCATCATTCTCTACTCGCATTGTAATCCAAAACGAAAGTGTCAAGAAAGATTTAGCAATGATATGAATTCCAGGATATTTTTCATTTCTTACAAGTCCAATTTGTACTAAATTTATATGATTGACAAATGATGGTAATTCTTGTTCCGTGAATTTCATACCAAAGATGTAAGTAACAATAAGAAGTAAAATGGCATAAAAGACAAGAAATGAACTTGATTTCATCATCATTTTACGACGATTTGAACTTATCCAAATCACATTGGACCATATGAGAAGAACAAATCCAAACCAAGAATGATAAATTATACTCCATGTCATCATAGAAACATTCGTAGCAATGTAAGAATTCTTAAAAAAGAAGTTTGTGATATTTCTTTGCGTTATTTCAAAAATTGTGCTTATTTCGCTGTATCTTAAAACATTCGATTTACTTGATCCACGATTCAAACCTTTCTTGTGCAACATTCTTGATACAATAGATGTTAATGGTCGTTTAGTCTTTTGCATCTAAATAAAGTGTTAATTAGTAAAGCTTTTAGAAAAATGAACATTTATGAAGTATTTTTACCAATATAAATTGTGATGCTGTTGATATTATTAAATAACATCCAATGAGAACAAAAGGATTCAAAAAATCATCAATTTGAAGTTCGTTGTTCAATGTTAGTTGAAAAAGTTTATTGGAATTGTCTGATATGTAATATAGGTCTAATCCCAGCAGACGTTCATACCAATTTTGATCGTTGATCTCATGTTCAAACCATTTATTTTGATATAGAAGAATTGCAGTTATGTGCACAATCAATAGAAAAGATAAAATCTTTAGAAAGACTGCAAATTTCTTTTGATAATCTCGATTCACTCCAAGCCATGTTGCAATAATTAAAAAAGAGACAAAGTAAATACTGTTTAGTATTGAAGGTTCCACAGCACCAGCAAGTCCTATTGAAATTATTGACACAATTGTGATAACTTTTCTAAATTTTTGGTAGTTCAAATATCCATTTTCTGAAGCCTCAAATGATTTTTCGTAATTTTTTGACAAAACAAATATTTTTCTCAATCTTTCATTTTCTTCTTTTCGAAAACTTGTAAACTTTTTAGTTAATGAAATCAGAATTATTGTAGACGATGTAACGATAGAATCTGGTCCTATGACTTGAATAACTGACCAATAACTGAATGATAAATGACCAAATAATTTTGGTTATACATAGGTATGTAATAATTTAGATTTAACATACTCGTTAAGTTCGTTGAAGCATTCAACAAATCCTAAATAACGTGATAGAGATGTAGTAAACTGGACAACTTTCCATGTGGTGTTTGCGAAGCACAATAAAAATAGTACCATTTGAAATGATAATGCAAGTAATGAGAATCCAATCAGCATATAAAAANGTGATAATCGTGAATTAAAGCATTTGAAAGAACTTGATATCTCTAACAATGCTTTGACAACTCTAGTAATTATTCAATGCTTGTAATGGTGCTCGAATGCAAGGATAAGAAGGTCATCAAATTGGAAGATATAAATTAAGATTAATGCAGTCATTGCATAAGATATTAAAGTTGTCCAGAAGAAATTCATAATCTTCATCCACAATTTAAATGAAATTTGAAAAATCAGAATGAAGGAAAGCACGAAAGTCATATTGATGATTCTAAATAAAGACATTTCTTTGCCGGTGACACTCATTATGAAAAGTGCTACGATTATTATCCACATCCACCAATGAACACAAAACTTTTCTACAACTCGAATTAATTTCTTTTTCCAACTTTTCTTCTTTCTCTCACGTTCACTTTTTATCAACATCAACACAGCTTCTTTGAAAGTTAAAGGTTTCTTATGTCGTGACATATTTTTCTCATCATTCTCTACTCGCATTGTAATCCAAAACGAAAGTGTCAAGAAAGATTTAGCAATGATATGAATTCCAGGATATTTTTCATTTCTTACAAGTCCAATTTGTACTAAATTTATATGATTGACAAATGATGGTAATTCTTGTTCCGTGAATTTCATACCAAAGATGTAAGTAACAATAAGAAGTAAAATGGCATAAAAGACAAGAAATGAACTTGATTTCATCATCATTTTACGACGATTTGAACTTATCCAAATCACATTGGACCATATGAGAAGAACAAATCCAAACCAAGAATGATAAATTATACTCCATGTCATCATAGAAACATTCGTAGCAATGTAAGAATTCTTAAAAAAGAAGTTTGTGATATTTCTTTGCGTTATTTCAAAAATTGTGCTTATTTCGCTGTATCTTAAAACATTCGATTTACTTGATCCACGATTCAAACCTTTCTTGTGCAACATTCTTGATACAATAGATGTTAATGGTCGTTTAGTCTTTTGCATCAATATAAATTGTGATGCTGTTGATATGATATTATAACATCCAATGAGGACAAAAGGATTCAAAAAAATCATCAATTTGAAGTTCGTTGTTCAATGTTAGTTGAAAAAGTTTATTGGAATTGTCTGATATGTAATATAGGTCTAATCCCAGCAGACGTTCATACCAATTTTGATCGTTGATCTCATGTTCAAACCATTTATTTTGATATAGAAGAATTGCAGTTATGTGCACAATCAATAGAAAAGATAAAATCTTTAGAAAGACTGCAAATTTCTTTTGATAATCTCGATTCACTCCAAGCCATGTTGCAATAATTAAAAAAGAGACAAAGTAAATACTGTTTAGTATTGAAGGTTCCACAGCACCAGCAAGTCCTATTGAAATTATTGACACAATTGTGATAACTTTTCTAAATTTTTGGTAGTTCAAATATCCATTTTCTGAAGCCTCAAATGATTTTTCGTAATTTTTTGACAAAACAAATATTTTTCTCAATCTTTCATTTTCTTCTTTTCGAAAACTTGTAAACTTTTTAGTTAATGAAATCAGAATTATTGTAGACGATGTAACGATAGAATCTGGTCCTATGACTTGAATAACTGACCAATAACTGAATGATAAATGACCAAATAATTTTGGTTATACATAGGTATGTAATAATTTAGATTTAACATACTCGTTAAGTTCGTTGAAGCATTCAACAAATCCTAAATAACGTGATAGAGATGTAGTAAACTGGACAACTTTCCATGTGGTGTTTGCGAAGCACAATAAAAATAGTACCATTTGAAGTGATAATGTAAGTAATGAGAATCCAATCAGCATATAAAAAAATCTTTTTGAAGTTTTCTTCGAAGTAACTATTGATGTATGGGGTATTGCAAAAATGAAACTCAGATATGCAAGTGAAGCAATTGATCCAGGTCTAATAGCGATGCCTATAATGGAACAAATTAGATACAATCTGAATGAATTGAAAAATTTAATTTAAATCTTACATGTACACAATATAAGTGGATGAATCATGCGTTGAAGGATAAAGCAAAAAACAAAGTACGTCATTCTTCTGAAATGAAGTTTATAAATATGTATACAGAATAATTTAGAGGTGATAACAAATATATATTTGCTGGTAAATATTTATTATTACAGTTTTTTCAAGAAAAATCCTTACTGCGATGATATTTTTGGGCATCTACTTGATAAAAAGCTTCTCTAAATTAATAGCTTTTCAACGGTTATTTCAAATTTAAACTAAAACGACGCTTCAAAGTATTGAGAAGCGACGCTTCAAAGTTTTATTTACATTCTCAATCACTTAAAACTTAAAAGAAATAAATTATAGAATATAAATCAACAAAAGCTTGAAAATGGGTACGAAAAGAAAAAACATGGAAGATGAAATGTCCAGGTAAATAAAAAATTCATTCAAGTTATAATCTCAGCAACGCTGTGTGTAAAAACAATAATTTCATAATTTTCTTTTCCAATAAAATTTTCAGATTCGAATCGGAGATTAATCAAGTAGCCAACATAAAACCAATGTTTGTCCCGTCTCAAGTTAAACAATTCAATGCTTACAACACGGCTCCTCATAAACCGACAATATCAAAACCTCCAATGTCGAATAACCAACAGGCTCCGTCATTTAATGCAACTTTTCAACCCGCACCAGCTGAGAAGACTCCAATCATACTTAGCTCAGCTCCAAAATTGTACTCTCGACCAAATGTCCCAACAGTAGAGATTCCCATCACGCTTTCAACATCATATGGCGCACAATCGTCATCGTTACCTCCTCCTTCTGTTGGTGGTCCCAGTTTCAATAGCATGCCATTCGAGGCTGTCCCAACAGCTAAAATAAAAAAATCGAAAAGCGATAAATCTCAGTCCAATCATATCGCTGAAGACATTATAAAAGCGGCAAAAGCTTCATCAGCATTACAATCGTTTGGGAACAAAGATAAGAAGAAAATTGACAAGAAAACTGTCAGACAAGCTGGTGGAATAACCTGGGAAGATCAATCGTTAGCAGATTGGCCTGATGATGACTTTAGAATTTTTTGCGGTGATTTAGGAAATGACGTTAATGATGAATTACTCACAAGAACTTTCAGCAAATATCTCTCATTTCAAAGAGCTAAAGTGATAAGAGATAAGCGAACAAGTAAAAGCAAGGGTTACGGTTTTATAAGTTTTAAAGAACCACAAGACTTCATAAGAGCAATGAAGGAAATGGATGGACGATATGTTGGATCACGTCCCATAAAATTGCGAAAAAGTACATGGAAACAAAGAGGAATGGAAGAACGACGAAAAAAAGATGCTGAGAAGAAAGCTCTCCTTTCTCTTATCAATAATTAAAATGTAAACTATGAAAAAATAAATAAGCTTTTCGAACGAAAAATATTACATTTTTAAATTAAAAACATTTTATTCATATCCAGAAATTACTCCTACGTGCATTTATTTTTAGCTTTTAAATAATATTTCGTTGTAATGTTGTTTAACACAAAAATGATGTAAAAAATTGTAATTTCAAATATTATTCAACTATGCCATAACATTTGTTTTAAATATAAGTTAAGTTTAATGCTTGATTCTTACATAAAAATTCTTAATTTACCTAAATTAAAATATGATGTGACACAATGTATTACTAAGCTTGAGAAAATTTCAAAGGATTCATCTTGAATAAAAAAGAAAAAAAGTTGTGAAATTGTAATGAAAACAGTAGAATTTAAGATTGTTTTATAATAAAGAAAAACAATTGAAAAATCATTTTGTTAATTATACATAGCTTTATTGAAGTCGGCTTTCTTTCTTTATCATCATGAATAAAAAAAAGAGAAGCTTTCTGGCACCTTTATCGATTCAGATTTAGTGTAGCTAATCCATTAAAAAGATTTGGAAATTTTATATGAATACACTTACGAAATTAGCTTCATGATTTACAACACTTACGCTTAAAACATTTTTATTACATATAGGAAGTAATTTCAAAAATGTCGGTTGAATAATGAAGTTCAATTAACATTTTTAAGATTACTTGAGAAGTTAAATAATGTATAGTAAAAAAAAATTAATTAAATTCACATGATTTTATAATAATAAGTTATATCACAACTATAAAAAAAATGAAGTTTAAACATTTTAAGATCCCCAATTGTGGGATGAAAATATCGTGTTGATACGTGATCCTTTTTTATTTGAATCCGATTTTGGGTCCACCATTATGCACAACAAGTTTTCTGTGATCTTTTGAACCTTTTGAACCTTTTGCTTTCGCATGTCCCGACTGCCTCTGGGAATTTGTTTCTTGTTCGTGTTGTGATGCAAAGCATTGCTGTGAATCATATTTACTGCACCGAAACTGCTGCTTCTTAGTGTTGAGAGACTTTTTAGCTTATTATTATTATCGTTGATTGAAGCTTTTGGCAATGACATTTTTTTCGTGGGTTTTGCCAAATTTTCTTGCTGGTTTATTGGTTTTGATGATGAATTATCGATGACGAACAAAACAAATATAAAAGTAATGATAACTGATCTTCGATCCTGTTAGAAATAATAAAAAAAGAAATATTTTTTGAGTAAATTAAAAACACATTATTTCACTTATAAGTATTATAAAAGCTCATCATTAAATTATAAACTTTTATTTTGAAAGTAGGAAATCTAAAACAAAAGAAGAGTTTACGTTATCAATCTGTGTGGCACGCGCCAGCATTGAAGAAATAAAAATTATCAAATTTTACGAACATGAATCATTATCAGGCGGTTTCCACATGATCATCGGTAATAAATTGTGATTAAATTAAAATAGATGATACGTGTTCTCAACCAAAAAGGAATTTCTCCATGAACTTTTCACCTGACACATATCAGTTATATTAAAGCTTTTGGTGTCGGGCATGTCGAACTCGGTCGCGACCATGCGAAACGACACAAACAGATTTGATTACGGAATAATGATCTTCTTTTTTTACTTGTTTTTGTGAACTTTGAGATTCACTTTTTCATTGAAAAGTTCAGGAAATAATCCATATCAACGTTCATTGGTTATTATATTGGGAAGATTAAAAATAGAATTTAAATTGTTGATCCTTAATCTATTCAACAGGAATTATTATGCTTTAAGTAGTTAAACTATTTCTCAATGCTTATGAATTGCATATAAAAGATATCCAAATATTTAAAAATTTTAACGGAGATTTGAATTGTTGAAGAAAATGTTGAATAAACTATTTGGTTGGAATGCTTTGAATTAAATTGATAGATCTTTTTGATCTTTAAGTACCTACATCACATGGATAATTAATACGTTAGTCGAACTATTTCTTTTTAAGTATGATCGCATATCCTTCATCCATGAATGCACAAAATAGATAATAAATAAATAACTCTTAATTATTTTACCATTTTTATTTGTCAGAATAGATTTAATAATTTATTTTTAAGTAGGTATTTCGTTCAAAGAATTTATTTTTATAATGTCCTTTTGTAAAATAAATTTTCACCTTCACTCGCGTTTTTAATAAATTTATATGACGACTGTTTGTCTTAGATTTCAACAGCGTTATGAGGAGGAAATGAGAAATTCTCGATTATTTAATGTCTCTAGAGCTTCTTACAACAACAACAACAACAATCCCAAAAAAGTTTAGCTTAAGTACAAGAAAAACTTTTTAAAAGGACAAACTTTCCAAAGAATTTCTTTTCATTGAAGTGTAAATTTTCGCACAATTTCTTTTTTATTAAAATATTCTCGTTAATGTTCACCCCTCGATTATTTATTAAGAACAGTAAATTAAAATGTTTTCCTAGATTATTCCGAGGAATCACCGACGCATATATTACGATTCGATGAAATATTTCTTATTAACATATAATCACCATTTGGGTTTTTTTAAATGCAAAAGTAACTTCTGAAGATGATAACTTTGTTGATCAAAGACGATTGGATGAAGTCATTATCTAAATTTTTATTTATTTTCTAAAGCTTCAGGTAATATTGACATTCAATAATTATAACTATTAAATTTTAGGTGACTAAACTTTCTAATTAATTTATTTTATTTTCTGTACAGTCTTGTGTAATGATAAGCTTACTTCCGTTTTGAAAGTAGAATTAAAAAAAATTATATTCACAATTTAAATCATGTTGTTAGGATTCTGTGAACATTTCTTCTGATGTTTGGACACTGCACTCAAATCTCCGCTTCGAAATTGGCAGAATTCATACTTGCAGCCGAATGGCTTCGCTCCTGTATGAGTGTTTCTAAATTAAACAAAGAGAATTTTAAATTTAATTTAGGTACCTATTTTAGGAGAAAAAAGCAAAAGAAAACTTACTCATGACTTTGTAACTGATTTTTCTGACCAAATCTCTTACCACAAAAGCTACATTCAAATTTATGAATTTTGTTATGTAAAATTTGAATATGTTTCTTTAAATTAGAGTAGCTATTAAATGTAGCACTGCATAACTCGCAAGCATTATTGTGTTTATGACGTTGGGCATAGTGCTATGTACAAAAAAAGAATTTTTATGATAACAATGACGAGAACATTAAATTTGAATCAGCTACCTGTGCTATTTTTCCTTTTCCCTCCACAATAACGCCACAAATTTTACAACGATAGTTATCAGTGTCACCCAATTGTTCCCTATACTCATTAGGATCCCCTCTTTCTCTAACAGCGCCTGGTGAACCTAATTTGAAAAGGAAAATAATCCATATATTGATTTAATCAAATTAATGTATTGAATTTACCAGAACATGTTGATTTCATATGAGATCGTAAGAAGGACATTGTTGGAAACTTTCGGCCACAACATCGGCAAATGTAATCAGTTTCTTGGCCATGTTTTGTTATCATATGTTGATCTAATGTAACTTTCGACGTGTACTTTTTATCTGTGGAAACGACAAATTCATGAATGATCATTAAAAAAATTGAAAGGTATTCCTAAATCGAAATATAAAAATCTCAGCAAAGAACACACAAAAATAGTTGAAATAAAAACAAAATCCTTACCAGGGCAAAACTGACACTGGAATGCTTTGATTTTCAGATGAATAGTTTTAAGATGTCGTTTTACATTCATTTTTGAAAATGTCTTAAAATCACAAAAGTCACAAAAGAAATTTGATATTCTTTTTGACTTATCTGAATGACTTAGTTTAATATGTCGTCTTAATTCACATGCCTTTTGATAATTCTTAGAACAAATATGACACATATGCGAAAGCAACTCGGGATTTTCATGCAACATCAAATGGTTGTCCATTCCCCTTGCTGTTTGACTTTTGTGTTTACAAATGCGACACTTAAATTCGTCATTACTGTGCATGGTTTCTAAATGTTCGTACTTTAACTTTCGTAAACCAAATTGATCATTGCATAAATAACATTTAAATGACACTGGCGACGGTTCCTTTTTTGTTCTTGATAATGATGATGACATTTTATATTTATTTTTTCTTTCCGACGTACATCGATATTCACCTGGTGAAAATTCTCTAACTGATCTCATAGGATCATTTTGTTTAAGATAATTAAAATCTAATGCATTAAAATCTTCAAAATCATCAGCTGGTTCGTTTTTGACACTTGTACACAATGTTTCAACATGAAGTATATTAAGTTCAGTTTCAACTTTAACTGATTCATTGGAAAAAGAAATAACAGGAAAGTTCTTCACTTCTTCGTTCTTAATTTGTCGTAAAGCTTTGTCTGTATTTATGCAAGTCTGTTTAATGTTACACGCAGTTGCAACCTGAGGTAAGCAGTTAGGACATATAACTTGAGGCAAACCGTCATTTGGTGAAACCTTAAATTAAAAATTTTCTTTAGAAAATTTAGAAATAATTTTATTATTCTTTTATTTACCGATACTCCTGAGCAAAATGTTATCATATCAGCGATTGTACTCAAGCCATAATTAACATGAAGTGATGTGTTATTTATTGAAGAAGGAACAAGACATATTCGACAAGATTCCATTCTCAAATTTTAATCAATACTTTATTGAGAATAAAATGTAAACAAACTTACAAGTTGAAGAATATTAAAGAAAAAAGCTAATTATGATACCTTCTAAAGTGATTGTTATGATCAATTTGTGTCCGACTGTCTGAAGAACCTTAATTTGTTTGTTTGCAATCGTTATAAGTCGCCAAGTTAAGAAATGATTTTATTTAAATAAGAGTGGTCCTTTTCTGACACAAAATTCGAAAGTTAATTAACGATGTAGACAACCTTATTATCAAAAAAATAATTACCTAAATTAATTTTTTTTTCTGTTAATTTAACTTGTAAAACTTATGAGGAAATAAATAGAAGCAGCGATTATTACAAAAGGAATCCAGGTTTTCAAAAAGCCTGTGAAACCAACATATTTTCCAAACAGAAACATCCATGCTGCAAGTTTCACCATATTCCACGATGTACTTCCAGAATACCTCATTTGACTTAAAGCCATTCCACAATGACTGTGGCAATTATCCCAAAAAAGATTATGCATTCGCTTTGAGTATTCATTCGAAGCCTTTTCAACAGCATCGTCCCAAGCATTACTTCCTCCATCAACCTTGTCTACATTTAAAACAAGATATCGAGTTGGCCAACCAAATCCCATGTCGTCATTGGAAACAACATAAGGACCTAAAGAAAAAGGAGACTTAAGCTTCATTTCTTTCTATTTAAGAACAAAATTCATTCTTACCAGCAAAATCTCGAATTATTCCTTTAGAAGTGGCAATACCCATATGACCGACAAATGGCAAAACTGTTTGAAATAATCAAGGAAATCTTAAAATTGAATCGAAAATAAGCTAAAAACAACTTCCTTACACCACGTTATTAGAGGAATAGGTGTCCATACTAAACAGTATGGATAGCGATGAAAATTGTAGTCGATTGTCGTATTTATTTCCATATTTTCTTCATCCATTTATTTTTCTATTCAGTTGCAAAATGTAAACAAATAATTTGATCTACCTTTGATCTACTTAATATCTACCAAAGAAAAAGCTTTCAAAACTCAATGTTTTGATAAATAAAAAAATTGTTAATATGTCGAAAGAAATATTTTCAAAGGTAATTCCTAATGTGAGAGTTGACACAGTTTTAAATGATGAAGGAGATGAAATCAATGCAGAAGTTCGAGAAGATGTGGAGGCCACACAGAGTCGAAAAAAGATTTTTGATTTGCTTTTGTCTGCCGGCTATTATCGTGTTATGATTAAAAGTAAATATCAGTCTTCCTGTTTGTTTTCATGAAAACAGAAAAATTTAATTTAAAAAAATGTTATGAGAGAAACTGGAATTTGAGTTTTTTATAAATGTTTTCAGATCTTTCGGATTTCGATAAAATTGTTGGAGGAATGACATGGTGCATTGAAGCTTGTGAGTTTGATGTTGATGCTGACATATTGTTCCACGAAAATTTGACTATAGGACAAAAAATGTGAGCTTACATGTTCTTTCATCTGATTACTATAATTAAGAATTTCTTCAATATTAAAGCGCTCTAGTTGAACGAGTTGTCGGAGTGTTGCCAATGATGAAATGCCCCTTTTTATTAGAACCGCATCAAATACAGGGCCTCGATTTTATCAGTATTTTTCCAGTCATCCAATGGCTTGTAAAGAAATCTGTAAATTTACGTCAGCTGAAAGCAGAACGCTTGAAACTCTTTGCTGTGAGTCAGTTCCATACACATTTTCATTTGATTTCTGACACATCGAAGGAGGAAGAATTGAAAGATTCGTCAAAAAATATTCCACCAGTAAAGAGAGTGTTTAAAAGGAAGAAAAACGCTCCTGAGCCGGCAGACATAAGAAGTCAAGTTCGTCTAACTCTACTTGAATATGGAGTAAAATCATTGACACCTTCATCAGAATCGTCAGCAATAAATACACAAAATGAAAATATAAATAATCAACAAGATGAGGTTTGTTTGATATAAAATTAAAAAAATATTTCTCATCTATGTTTTTTCACAGGTTTTGGTTGAAGAGCTTATGAATAAAAATTTAGCAATTGTAGAGGAAGTGAGTAAACAAATCAATTTGAATGAAAACATTTTAAACTTTCTCATTGAAATTATCAGGAAGAATATCAGAGTGAAAATCTGAGTCCAGAAGAACGCGAACAAAGAGAAAAACATTACGAAAATCTTAAATCTGAAATAACGATTGATGCACTAAAAGGATCAAAAGAACTCTCAGAGAAAGCAAAACTGAGAAATTTAGAAATGATTGAACAGAATTTAACGAAACGATTAAATCGAATTAAACTCAAGAATGAAACTTTGTTGAAAGATAACTCAAAAGATCTTGAGACTTTGGAATCTTATAAGAAGAAAAATGAAGAATTGCTTGAGAAAATCAAACAATTTGATGAACAACAAGATAATGAAGGGAGTATGAAGAGTACCATCGAAAAACTTATTCTTGAAAATGAAAAAATGAAAACCGAGGAAATTCAATTAAAGGAAAATTGTACAAAAATTATTGAAGATCTTCATAAACAGATAGAAGAAGCTGAAAGAATTTCTGCCACTTCTGAAAGCGAGAATCTAGCTAAATATAATGAAATATTTGAAAACGAAAAGAAAACACTCAATTTATGTCGTTTGGAACTGGCAAAAAAGAATCGATCAGTAAACAGCCTTCAAAGACGAATCGACAACATTCCAGATAATATTGAATTAGCTCAATATCAGAGAAGATTACTCGAGCTTAACAACAATATGAGCTTGAAGACAAAAGAGACGAAGCAATATTATGATTTATATAACACTCTAAGTACAACCCTCGACTACTTGGAAAAGGAGCTGACATACTTGAATTCCATTTACGATAATTATAACTCGTAAGTAATCCGATGTAATGCCTTTCTATCCACATTGAATTTCAATTAATTTCCTTTCTAATCACAGAGCTATGGCAACCCCCGCCTCGAGAGATCAATTCCTTAAGAAATTCGAAGAAATCGTTGATGGAATAGCAGCAACCAAGATGAAATTTAAGCATAAATATGATGAAGAAAAGCTAACAAGAGATAACTTGAATTCTGATTTGTTAGTGTTACTTGATCTTCAACGTAAATATGCTGCAGTTGTAAAACAATTCAAAGTTGCATGCGAGAAAGTTTAAGAATAATTTGATCACAAATTTATAATTAGCATAATATTTTATTGGCCTTTCAAGATTATTATCTTTTTTTAAAAGATTTGAAAATTCTTTAGTTTCTTTCCTTAATTATTTTTCTTTTTTTTCATATATTCGACTCACAAAAAGATAATCAGGTTTTTAATTTTAAAGTTATGGACTTTATTAATGACAGGAATTTTGTAGTGGATTTTTTATTTTTCTATGAATAGGAATACTACACTAAGAATACGATATTATTCATTTATGTTGGCGTTCACTTAGCCACCATCGTTTTATGACGATAAATTTCCTTTGGAGTTTGAATGCCGATGCTAAGTGAACGCCAGCTTCATTTATATTTGTTCAAGAACTATTTGGATTTAAAATAAATAAATTACACACAAATCAAATTTTTATTATTTTTGGATAAATGGATGATGTATTGAAACATAGACACATTGATTTGATATTCCTCAAGTAAGTATTCGTTAGTTAGGCGCTTTTGAGATGCGTTTTGTCATGAAATTGAATCCAAAGAGAGATTTCAGTTGAATGCTATCGAATTCAATGTAACTTGATAAAGAAATGTAATATAACAGAGATGATATTACTTGATGTGAGAGATGGTTTCAATATTTCTTAAAGCTTTAAGTTAAAGCTGACTCATCATGAGTCGAAAATTCTAAAATATTGGCAAAAATGTGTTTCCTCGAAAATGGAAACAAAACAATTTTGGATCATCCAACTCTGTGTGGATCCAATTTCAGATCTTATCTATTGCTTACATTTTTGCTTCTCTTCAGTTTACTTCCTTCAGAATCATTATTAATGCAATATTTTAAAACATAAACACGACTCAGTTGAAGGAAGAATGGAATTACCATTTTAGTCTGTGTAGACGAGATTAAGGTACTTCTTTAAATATTTCATAAAATGTTCTCAAAGAAATGAATCAATAAATGACCAATTATATAAAAATAAATATGATTTCTCAATTGTTATTCACATGTAGGAAAGTTCTTAATATTAAATGTTTAAACTCCAACTTTTCATTATCATTATTAAGTATGTTCAAAATTTTTTAGATCAATTTGGTGTGTGTTGAATTAAGAATTAATCGTGTAGTTGAAAATCATTTCAACAGTTAAATAAGAAAAACTATTAATTAAACATTTATTTGATATCCACTTAGAGTAATTTGCCGAATTTGGCTAGTGTTCATTTGTGGGCATATCTAATTTGGACACCTGTTTTAAGCCCTTATAATTTATTTTTAACAAAAAAAAAGGTATTTGTTGAAAGTTTTGGACTCTCAACAGATACTTTTGTTTTGTTGAAAATAAATTAAAAGGAATGAAAAGTCCCAAAAACAGGTCTCCAAATTAGATATGCCCACAAATGAACACTACTCAAATTCGGCAAATAACTCTAACGTAGAAAAATCAATTATATTCAAATAGATTTTATTAAAATTTTTCAAATATTCTCCAGATTACGAATTTTGATTTTTAGAAGTCTTTTAAAAACAATTTGGCAAAATTTATGTTTTCATTTTAAATATAAAAGAGATTTCGTTTTGCAATTTAAAAACAATAAAAATCTATTTGTTAGCATTCATTCGAAATCTTTTCAACTCATTGTTTATTTTCATAAACTTTATCAGTTTGAACTTGTGGATTTGTGCTAACAAACTCATGTAAAATATCACACGCCATCTCAAAGTTATTTCGAGATATTCCCAATGCAGCGACAACATTTTCTTTCGAATATCCTTCCTTCATGAGTCGATTTATGTATTCTAAATTTATATTTTCATACGGAACATTAACATTGCAACTGCTGTTATTATTTATATTATTTAATGTAAACAAATTACCAGTTGACTTTAATCTGACATTCTCATACAGTTGGATATTTGTAGCACATAGAGAATCAGATTTTAAAAGGGATAAATTATTTTCTGCTGCTTTATTAATTGACGAACTTGAAGGAATTTTCATATTAGAATTTCCTTCATTCGAAGCTAAAGATGAACATTGAGGCTTCATCCCATTTGTATTGCTAGAATTATTATTATTCACATGGTTGTTCCTAAGAAGATATGCATTAGAGTTTGTATTGTTGTCACTAGTTTCTTTCGCTGAACATGACGAATCGTTGATAGTTATGAAATTAAAATTACTGGTGACATTATTTGTTAACGAAGCAAAGCTAATGTAGTTTGTTCGTTGTTCCAAGGGTCTTGTATCAATAATACCTTTAATGTAAAGGCAAAAATATTTAAAAAAAATGAATTAGCAATCTTGATTCAACAATCGCACGCCTTATAAATTTCATTTGATTTTTTTCTTTTCTAAAAACAAACCTGTAATCGTTTCGGCTGGTCCACAAATTGGATCTTCATCTTCATCTTCAAAACTTTCTTTTTTCGCTAATTTTCTTTCATCTAATTTGATTTCATCCTTCAATAAATTTTCTGAATTACTAATCGATGGTAGCATCGGTTGAGGCTTTGAAGTTCCCTGAATTACTGCTGATTTTCTCGGAGGAATTGGTGGGGCTAATTCTTGATTTTTAAATGAGCTATGAACATTTTTTGAAGGTTGATTTTCATTTGGATTCAAGTCAATTAAAGGAGCTTTACTGATTGAACTAACAGAGCATGAAGAAGAGGAAGAAGATGAAGAAAATGAATTTCCACTTGAAGAAGTTGAACTTGCTGTTGCTATTGATTTTTGACTTTTTCCATTATTGCTATAAGAACCAAAATGTGGTTTTGTTGAAGATCCCACTTGTTCTTTTTCTTGAGACGTTGTAGGTTTTCGTGTTGGTTTTGGCGATGTGTGGGGGCTATGCATTTTTTCACCTCTGGTAAGAGTGAAACTGTTGCTTAGTGCTTGTATAGAAGACTCCGCAAGATTAAAATCACCTTCCTGAAAATTAAAACATAAAAGTTTGCATTCAAAGCTTTTACATTTCTTCTTTTCAATTATTTTTACGTAAATGAAAAAGCATTGATAAGAAAAAAAATAAAATTCCGTGCTTGGTCATGCCTTAAATGAAAATCAAATAAATTATGATAAATAAAAACGATGCTTGAAACATAATGATAAATAAACAAAAATCTTTGATTTTAAGATTTGATTTTATTAGGATTAAAATTTATTTTAATCCAATGCGTGATTGGGAAATACATGCTTAAGTATTTTCAAAAATTTTGACTAAACTAAAGTTTATAAATGTTTAAGACAAATTTACAGCGGAACAAATAATAAATGAGATGGAATATGTAAGAAATCACTGTTAAATAAATCTATTTAATTAACTTATATTTAGAAACATAAAAATTAATAATAATTCGAAACGAAATATAAAGTATGTATGTGAATATTTCTCGTAAATATTGGGCAGGATCAACAGTGTAAATTTTAAAGTTCTGTAAAACACCTCATCGAATTATCACTAGCGAAGTGTTCATTAAAGAACGCAAAAGCTTTACAAGCAAAAAAAAAGTAAATTAAAATGAATTCTCTTAATTAATATTTATACTCTTATTCATTGTACTGTTATAATAAATATACAAAATATCTGCTTCTCTTTCTCTAAAATGAAATGTATTTCAGAACACAGTTTTAATGAATTTATGTCACGTTTTATAAATTTTTGACTGGGCTTAACTGATCGGTCGACAAAAATAGTAAAATGATTTTGAGTAATCAAATAGCGTTCAAATTGCCAATTTTTTCTTTCCTTTTCGCTAATAAATAAAATGTTCCGAAAACATCTTTCAAACTGCTTAAATTGACATAAAATTAGAATTAATAGCACAAGTTTTGAGCTTTCCTAACCGAAAGCTTATCTAACAACATATTATTTATATTTCGGTACTTCATAGCGAATTCAAAGCTAAATGTGTAGCATTCAAAATTTTATTTGTCTTAAATTTAATTTGATCCTTTTCAATTGTCATAACTGACAACGATAAATATTTATGAACTTGTGTTTAAAGAATCGGCTTGAGTCTGTGAATATTTACAATGATTTTTCGACCAACTCTTATATAAATTAATTAATTCATCTGTGGATTTGATAGCATTCAGAGAAAAGGAAGAGGAATTAAAAGTTCTCAGAATTTCTCGCAATCTCAGAATAAAAATATTTTTCATTCAATATTTATTAGGTATTTGATTATTAAAAGCATTATGTGGTTGCGGTTTCACACTTTAATGAATGAATGAGAAAAAAGCAGAAAAGTATTTGGTTTTTCTTTAATTCATTCAACTCTATTTATAACCATTTAACGTAGAATTTTAAATAAAACTCTTGATTTATAGATTCAAAAAGCACGATTATGACGATTTAAATAAATTGAGAATAAAAATAAAGTTAGATGAAAGCAAATGAAGTTAAAGAAGAAAAGGTAGGAAGAGATATTTATATTTCAAAATTTTAAGTATAATCAGCCACAGACAGTTTCTTAAAGCAAATGCGAGCGATGCATATTAATTATTGCAACTTTATTATAAAATATTTAAAATAAAAATAAAACATAAATTGATTCTAAATAGTCTAATGTCTTTTGTCTTAAAGTTGCAGATAGTTAAGACTTGGCATAAAAGCATTTCATAGAAATCCAACGATAATGTACCAAGCCCTATTTTTATAACTTTGCTCACAATACCTCATTCTCGTCATCATGATCATCATCTTTCTGTCTATTTATTATTGCATTTCTATTGTGTTGTCGTTTTGGATCAAACGCATCAACCACAATTTGTTCAGTTCCTTTAATTTCAGCTCTACAAAACGGGCAGCCCTTTAAAAATAGACAGAAAAAAAGCTTTAAGCATAATAGATGACATAAAAATAAGAATCCTTCATTTACCTGTCCCTCAGAATCAACTTGCCATGCTGTGAGACATGGAGTGCACAGCAAATGTCCACAAGGTTCAATACGTATATCCTTGTCATTTTCAGCACATATTTTACATAATTGGAAGGTGCTTCCTACATAAATATAAAAGAGAGAAAAATGATATAAAAAAATGTCATCTTCATATTTGGTAAACTTATCAATTTACCCATTTCACAGTAGAGTTCATACTGCTCTTGCGTTACAGTTATGTGATCTTCAAGGGGACTTTGAACTGCAAATGACAAATCGGGGTTATGTGGACGTCCATCAGGGTACAAATAAAATCCCTCTCTAATGAATCAAAATAAAAATTAATGATGTTATCGATTAACATGTTGTTCTCATATTCACCTGTAGCCATCAAGCAAAGCTTGACATAACGACTTGTTTTGAGGAATTGTTTGAAGAATTTCACCGTCAGCTGTGACATAGCCTATTGCCCACTGTCCTAATCTTGTACATGATAATCTAAATACATAACTACCAGCTTTATTAATATATTTTTGTAATCTAGCTTTGACTTCATCGTATGTGAGAAATGCAACGTAAGCCGGATGAGTAACCGCTAATATTTGCCAATTACGTAGTAATGTACCCCAAGGTTGAAACAGTCTAACAGGGAGAAACAGCGAGTAGAATTTTAAATTACGTGGGAAGTTCAGAATAAAATCAATTATTGATGCAAACCTAGTAAAAACATCGAACTCGAAATTCGAAATATAATCATTGCATGTCAAGTCGATAGTAGTTTTTAGAGCCATAGCCTCTAGACCAGATGATATTGGATGAACTTGCGATAGTTCTGCACGAAACAGCTTCCATGGCACAAGTGTACTGTTTAAATTTTAAGAAATATTTTTAAATCAAATCTTTTAAATGTGTTTTCATGATTCTGAAAATCCGAAACATGAATGATTCAAAGTAATCAAACAGCAGATTTTTTTCTTCTTAATTCAAACAAATTAAGTTTTTCTAAGTAAACATTTTAAGACTCACTTATTTCCGAAACGACTTTTCCAGAATTCTGCCGCATCAGACTTCGTAATGCGAAATTGATCACCAGCAAATACTCCATTTGGGAAAATGGCTTTTAATTCACTAAGCATATGAGAGAACACAAGACTAAGTTTTGTAAGATTCCTACGATAATGCGAGTTTTCATCAAACATCAACATTTTTCCTTCTTTGAAAAGTTTTATGGCCTGTTTACATTTTCGCATTAAATTGTTAATGAAAATATTAAAATGTTCATTGGCGTGAAGAACATGCATGCCGATTTCTTCATATTTTGAATAGATAAGGTGCAGTCTCTGATAGGTATCCGGTAGAATATCCAGAATAAAAGGTGGACTATTTTTCAAGTTCATTTTGCTTTGTTGACACAATTTAACCACTTTGTCCATCAATTTCCAAGTCTTTTCTAGTGTTTTTTTATCCGTCATCATTTTTTGTTGTGTGCAATCACTTAATTTGCACTGAATTTTTGAGAAGAAAGTTAAATTTTTCATCATCTTTAACTGATTGTGAAAAAATGATTATTTTTTAATATTATTTCAAAGATTTCGATAATGAATTTTGGGTATTCAAATTTTTCCTTTGAATGTTAAATTTTCATACATTTCTATTGAACATTTTCACTGTAGTCTATTATTTTTATCGATTCTGATCCCAATGGATTTTCATTTTTATTTGTAGATTATTTGGATTGCACTTTAAAGTGCGTAAATTATTTACTCTTGATACGAGAGTTCAGTTTTAAATATTATAGCCATTAATCGGAAAATTAAGTTCATATCTCCACTTTTAACTTCCTCCACTGTTTTCAAGAAAATAAATTGTTATTAACTTAACAATTTAAAGCGCACTTGCATCGTTTATATTGTTTAAAAAAATATTTTAAAGCTAATCATGACCTCATTAACTATGATGTTCTGAAATCGACGTAAACTTTTATAACTTTTTTGGCTTCAATTTATTTCTTTTCACAATTAATTCTTCATTTTCACAAGCATTGCAGTTTAGAGGAAACAAGGAACACTTTTTCCACCTTTAATAGTCACTTAAATATAGTTTATGCTGACTTTTCTTTGCGAATAATTTTAAAGGGTACTAAGGTATACTATGTTCGTATGTAACATAGAATTATACCCCCAGATAGATGCAAAATAATGTGCGGATCTTTCTTATTTGTTGAAGTCAACTTTGACTCAATTCATATTTTTATCTATTTTGAGAAAAAGTCATAAATAAATATTTATGACAAATGATATAAGTATTAAATACGAATCATATTTTGATATTAGGAACTTGTGTAGCATGTAATTTTATGTAAAATAAGATTAAAAGTTTTTAATGTGTACTCCCCACCTAAAACTGCACGAATAGTTTCAGGTGGAGAGTGTACATTGATCACGCTCTGTGAGGATTTTATCACAGTGAGAAATTCAGTTTTTCTTGGTTTTTCTAGTCAAAACTACCCAATCGGATCTCATTCCGAGATTTTCATCTCATTCCAAGAGATTTATACACTCTCCACCTAAAACTCTTTCCGGAGTTGCAGTTTCAGGTGGAGAGTGTAGATGAGTCTCTGCACAGTGTTTTTCAATTATTTTCCCGATTTTATGGAAAAAAGTTTTGGATATCTTTTAAAAAGAAATTAAAACACCACAAAAACAAATTTGAGTTTCAAAACTAAAATGAGTGTTAAAATATTATTGTGAGAAAAATTCTAAAAGGTAATTTTCCAGTCTTAGTGATTTTTTTTGGGTGGAAAACTGCAATCTTTTCTTTTCTTATTGAGCTTCAATTAGGTTGAACTCTAATTCAAATGCAAATTAAAAAATTTGAGAAAGCAAATTAAATGACATTAAACCTTTTTTTACCATACTTTGATTTATGAAAGTTTGATGTTATACTGATTTTCCAAAAATTGATATTTAATACTGAAACGAAGAAAAAATTGTTACATACATACAAATATACCTCAGCCTTATAAAGAAAAATCAGGACCAATAGAAATCATTTAGTGGTATGAAAATTTCTTATTTTGTAAAATAAATTAGCATTTAAAGTGTTGAATTACACGTTGAAGATAATGATTTGTTACTTTAAAGATTTTTTCGTCCTGAATTGCCATAAATAAAAAATAATCCTTTTGTTCTAAGTTGGAAAATTTATAAGAAAATGTTAATTTCCAAATGAAAAACTAGGTTGAAGAATTTGAACCGAAATCTGAAAATAAATGAGAAGTCATTATTCATCAATGTCCACCTTTTACTATCTCCGATGGTATAAATAATCAGAGTTTTTCAAAAGTTTTACTTTTCAAATTTTCCATTGGAAACTTACGACTTAAATATGTTTCGTTTCTTAAATTCATATGATTTTCTCTATTCCCGGACATGTTCGCATATAATTATTAAACTTTAAAATATATACAATTGTTTAGATGTGCATTTGGGCAAAGAAAAAAAAACTTTCTAAAGTCATAGGTTGTTCACATAGCTCATGTTCATGTATGAAAATGAGATGAACAAAGTTTCTTTTGGATTGCTTATTTAATTAACATTTTTTGCCACTTTTATGGTTTCTCCCGCCCCTCCTTACAATTATTTTATGATATTGGTTTAAAATCGCTACATATTTTCTTCATTTCTTGTTTTCAAACAGAATGAAATTTTGTTATATTTAAATCTTCTTTACGTCAATCGCATCACGGTTAAGACTATGGCAGCTACTGCTTATAGTACAAGCCCGAATCGAGTGTCGTCAACAAATCAAAATCAATATGGTAGCTATAGCAGTGTCAACAAAGTTATTATAAACCAATCACATCATCAATCTCAACAACACCATCACATGATGCAATCAGGATCAATTGGCGGTAGTGCACCGCCACCGTTATCGATATACCAAGTCAAAGAACACCATAATAATTATATGATGTTATATTCACGTAATTATAATTACAAGCGCAAAACAGCCGTGGAAATGTTAGCTGAAAGCAAACCCTATTATGTAAAGTCGGAAACTGTTCTCGACAGAAATCAGCAATTGAATTTGCGTGGTGCCGGAAACAACACAATGTCTTGTAATTAATAACGAAGCTTACTTAAAATTCTGTAAAATATTTCCATAACTCATTGAAATTTGTTTTTAGATGCTCTCTCGCCATCAAGAGTTCCATCATCGCCCCATCATTCATATTATCATCAAACTTCGACAATGGAACGTTACCCACGATCTTCAGCTAGCCGACGAACAGCTTCATCTGGATCTGATATGTTGCAAACCAAATTGAGACGTTTATTAAACACAGAAAAGGAATCGTTGATGTCTAGTGATGATATGTTGATTCCACCACCACCAAGAAATTATCATGATTCGTACCAGACTCAACATAGATCGAGAAATTACCAACAACAACTGAGTGTTCATTCGGAAATTCAAAATCAAAACGATTTGAGTGTTTTCTTTCCCAGTGCTTTTCTCTCCCCTCAGTCGTTGCCTCCTAAAACAAGTGACGATCTTGATGTTCTTTACTCGTATAGTATTGACGATAGTGATGGATTTTTAGAGCGACCGATTTCGCCACCCGAACAATATGCAACAAATACAGCACCAAAAAATGAAAAGATAAAGAAAGAGAAGCAAAGATGTGATTATTTGAGATCACATTCTCAATCAATGGCAGTTGATGAATTTCGACCCAAAACAAATGGACGAATTAAGAAAAATCCTTATTCACAAAACACAACAAACAGTATTAATAGCCACAAATCTCTGCCTGATTTGCATACACAAATATCACGTCATTCACCTCATAGTGAAGCTTTAAGTTCATGTTCAAGAGGCAACAGATCTAATCGATCAGGCAGTTCAGGTTTTAATCGGGATCGTGATTCGGGCGGCAGTTCAGGACATTTTACACATAGAAGTGAACCATGTTGTAAACAAATGGAGAAACTTATGATGACACAACAGCAACAGCAGCAACAGAAACAACAACAACAAGTTAATTCAAATCAAATTCAACATCAACATGATTATCGACGCGATTCTGGCAGTTCAACGCAACATTCAGGAAATTCGTTTTATGCGAATCAACAGCAATTTCGCTATGATTGTATAGAATGTCGTGCAAAGATGCGTGAAAATGAAACAATTTTTAATTTCAATTTTCCTGTTGAAGTTCCAGAAGCATTTCAAGATAGTTATCAAGATAGTAATGATACTGTTAGAAACACTTATTATAATCAGCAACAGAAGATTTCGCCAATTACTAAATCTCCTTCACCAGATTTATCCCAAGAAATGTTGTCGCCATCATCTCAAAACATTGAATTAAGTCCATTGAGTCCACCATTGGGAACATTTAAGAGACAAAAGTGTTTACGATTTAAGAATTTTCGCTACTATAATGGATCAGTTAGTCAAATCTCGAACAGTCAACCGAATTCTCTTCCAGTTGAAGCTGATGATGATCGGAGACCAATTTTAAGATCAAAAAGCGATGTCAGTGATCGTTACATGAATCGTGAATCAAGTGCGCAAAATAGACGTGAGCGTTATCATCAAACTGCCGAAGAAAGTTTTGGAAGCAATGGAAGTGGTGGAAGTAGTGGATATAAAATGAATAAGTCTGATTCGTTACATGAACTGGAACAGTTCTTCGATCAGTTAGGATTGGATAATGAAAATTATACAGAAATTATAGTTCGAACGCCAAAGAAGCATCAAAGATCAGCTTCGGCTACTCTACCTGTATCTAGTTATAGTGATAACGATGAAAGCGAACATTCAAGTGTTGTCTTCTTCTCCGATTGCAGCACAATTGACTCGAATCGCATTATTGCTGATAGTGGACCAAGCTATAATGGTGATCAGAAGAATATTCAAAATAACCCAGCAAATCCTAATCTTTATAGACCTAGCGAGCCTCCAAGCATTGTCGAAAGAAATGCTCGAATTATTAAATGGCTCTGTAATTGCAAGAAATCCCGGTTACTTTAGATTAATTAATAATATTTACCATAAATATAATCTTGAAAGCATTCCAGAGGTAATTTTTAAAACTATGGATAAATGATGTACACCTTCGATATTCACTATAGCAGTGCTGTGTAGCAAAATATGAAATAATTTCATTAATTAATTAAATAATAAGAGAGAAGCATGAATTTCAAATTGCAACTCCAATTAGATTGAATGAAAAGAAAACACTAACTAACTTTAAATTACCAATTCTCTGCAGCAAAAAAAGAATTTCATTAAATAGAAATATCTTTGAACGAAACTTAATACTGAAGATAGAATGTTAGATTTAGGATTTGAGATTTTCCTTATCAAATTTACATTAATTTATGTGATAATTTCTTTTATCAATGGCGATACGAAGAATGGATGAAATCTCGGTGATCTTGATAGTCAAAGAAAGTTTTTTTTATATCTTTCTATTTTCATTTAATCATCTTTTAAAATGGTGTTGATAATATTTAGCATAAATATCATAAGAGCATTAAAAAGATCTTCATAAAAATTGTAAAGTTCAGAACGATACAAAACCAAAATAATATTGAGATGGATAATTTTTGAAATCCTTTTACTCATTAAACAACAAACAGTCAACTTATTTACTCACGATTGAGCTATGATAGCATAAGATTACTTAAAATGTTACACTTGAATATTTATGTTTGTTTTTTTTTATGAAACTTGTATGTTTTTCGAAGTTTTGTCTTAAAATGTATTTAATAAATTCAACTTTCTGACAACTACTAACTGTCAAAAAAAAATTTGTTATTTGATAGTATTAATTATAGTAGATATTCAATAGTTTCAGTCATGGTCATCATTATTTAAAATTCTGAAAATGTTTCATATAACGTGAATGTTTCATCTTAAAATATTCGACACATGTGGGGAATACGAACAGCTTCACTATAACAGTATTCACTCAACTTAAAACTTCCTGTTTGGTCTAACGTTGGAGTGAGTTCAGTTTGTTTTAAATAATTCACAGAGAGAGAAATGATAAGTTGGCATCTTCTAGGTAGTATTAAATTGCTATGTTTGTGACATCGACAGTAGCAGCAGTAGTGTGAAAAAGTTGAAAAATTCTCTGTTACTTTTATATTCTCAAAGAGCATGGAGAGGAGTGTGGAAGTTTTCAAATAATTCGAGTGCAAATTAAAATAAATTCATTCAAAATTTCCTACGTTTTATATCGAAAAATTACAACATTTTGTGCTGTTTTTTTATGGATTTGCATGAGTATTTGTGTAGATAGGAACATACATGTAGGACTTTTGTTATTATTTTCGGTTCGGTAAAGTTTCAAAACAAGAGAGAAGACGTCAAGAAGTTAAAATAATATTAAAGAGGTACAAAGTGATGAGACAATAGTTTATTATTGATAAATCAAGGAAGTGCATCTGAAGTCGAGTGGGGAGCACAAAGAAAAGTGAGATTTCTTTTGTTATACCTAAGTTATGAAAAAAAAATTTATAAATTCCAAAGAAAAACTTGTTTTGCATTTGAAAAATGAATTTAGAGGGAGATGTTTGCATTCAGTTAAGTTGAAGTTAGTCTTTTTAACTACGTGAGAAACTGCAGTCGTAAGAGAAAATACGATGATGACGGAATAGGTTAAAAAAAATGTATTTCTTTGTATTTTTGTGTGATTGTTTTTATTTTGAAAAGAAAAATAATTTGGGTTAACGTTGTTCAAGTTGGGATTCATTTTATTTGTCGTTGTCTTATTCAAGTATCCAGTATGTCAAACGGAACAACAAACTTAATCGGCTCTAGTAAGCCGTGCCAAATCAATGGCCCACTTATCGTGACTATTGTAGGACTGCCTTGTCATGGAAAATCCTTGGCGGCTCATAAAATCTCGCGATATTTGTTTTGGAGAGGCGAAGATGTAAAAGGTGAGTGCAAGCTTTGCCTCTCAGACTTTGAACATTTTTTTTATTAATGAATGGACCTTGGATTTTTCAGTTTTTAAGGTTGAAGACTTCGTAACAGAGGAAACACTTCAAAACATTAGTGAATGGTTCACTACAGGTCATAACGTTGCTGTACGGAAATTTAACTTTGACTTCACCTTGAAAGAAAAAACTATTTTTTCTCCTTTTCCGTTTCTCTTTTTTCTTCTCCTTTTTAAGATTATCGATGGAATGAATTTATCAAAACAATCTCGTAATCTCGTGGCAAATTATTGTCGAACGTCAGTTTATCACCATCTTATAGTAGAGTTCAATTGCACTGAGGCTTGTGTTGAAGATAATATTAAAGATACAGCATTGTTCTATGAGAAGCTTGACAACAACAAAGACTGGCTGAAGAAATTACAAGAAAGATTTAAGAAATTCACTCCACTGTATGAGAAATGTTCAATTCATGAAGGACCTTTGATAACTGTGAACAACTCGGAGAATCAACTTCTTCATTCAGTGACAGCTCACGGTGTTCAAGGACTTTTGCAAACATTTATTCTAGGCGTGCTGTCGAGTCCCGTTATAAAGCACAGAGTTTTCTACTTTAGTCGAGTAAGCTGGAATTATGTCGAAACTTGATTCCGATTGACTCACAATATCGTTTGTTTTTAAAGCATGGAGAGTCGGAATTTAATGTGTTAGGTGAGTCAAATGTAAATAAATGTAATAGTTCAGATGAAATATGAATGCAGTTCGGTAAATATTGGTTATGATGGAAAATGATAAAAGAAAAAAAAATGCCGCCGTCAGGTCGAATTGGTGGTGACGCTGACTTATCAGATCGAGGTAGGAAATATGCTGACAATCTGGCGAAGCAGCTTGGTGGGCCAGGAAGCAGTAAAGATTCTCCTAAACCTCGTTTGGTAACACCATTGAATTTATAATTTGACAAACACTTTCAAATTGTCTTTTCTTTTAGATTTGGACATCGGAGCTTCGTCGCACAATCAGTACAGTTCAAAATATCCCCGGACCACGAGCAACACTTAAAGATTTAAATGAAATCAATGCAGGAATATGTGAGGGATTGACTTATGAAGAAATACAAGAACGTTTTCCATCAGAATTTGCATGGCGTGATCAAGATAAGTTAAAGTATCGCTATCCACATGGTGAATCTTACTTGGATCTTTTACAAAGAGTTGATGGTGTCATCCAAGCACTCTTATTAAACACAGATGTTCTTGTAGTTTCCCATCAAGCTGTGCTTCGATGCATTATTTCGTATTTTAAAGGCACAAAACCAGGTGAGTGTTAAAAAATTTAATTCTTTTAACAAGATTTTACTGATCTTTAAATTTTAGAGGAAATTCCTTACATCAATGTACCACTTCACACATTAATTATTGTTAAGTCTTATGGTTATGACTTTGAAATCGAAACTGTGCCATTGAAAGGTAAATTGCTTTAAAAACTTTCTTTTGCAGCTTATCCCATTCATTGTTTGAGTTTTAATATGTTAAATAATCCCTTTAGATAGTTTTTATAATTCATGTCAATTTCTTTCTCTTCATTTTATAGTTGAGTGCGTTGACACTTATCGAATTCAACCAAATAATTGTTCTATTGAAAGAACATCTGCTGATGCATTAACCACCGTTCCAGCTCACTTTGACTCTGTACCATCGGCATTAATAAACTAATTATTTTGGAGGGTAAAGCGAGTGGGAACAGCTTTGCTTATCTAGTTAGCAATTTTAATTTCTGACGCTTTTTCTTTTTAATTACATATTAAAAAAAAATTCGTCAAAATACTTTTTGATATCATTTCAAATGCCATTTAAATAATTTTGCATTTCTTTTTAATCTAACAAATAATTTTTTTATTTACAATTTTAAATTTCTAAATAAGCCTTGATTTCTAATTCTAGATGATGATTTTGTTGATCGGACAATGTTCTTTTGAGCGTTCTTGTTCTAGACAGTTGTAAGAAGAAATCTTGGTTTGATTAAGTTGTAGGTTTTCTTTAAAGAATAATAATATTAATGAACATCTTTCTATAAAACTTCTAACAGCTTTCACATACTTACTTACTAAGAGAACTAACGAACTAGCATGTAACTTTTTATTTTCTTTTTAAACTCTGTCAATCTAAAGCATTTTAGTAATTTTTTTTATTAAAATTGGAAATTAATTTACCTACTAAAGGACCCACCAACTGAAAAATGCAAAAACTTATTCACTATCATGTAAGTAAAATAGTTGAAGACTTTCGAGCATCTATCATTTCTTTTTTTAATTAATGACTGGATAAACGTTTGTACAAAGTACATGCAAATTAGAATATTTAGAGTCAAGATGGAAATTTGACTGCTTTTGCATTTCTTGATCAATATTCGTGACCGTTTAAATGTTTAAAATTTAAAAAAAAAAGATGTTAGGTTTATCCCATTGGTGTTTGAGGTATCAATTGAAAATACTGTTTGCTTGTTTTTTTAGTTAATTGATAAGATATGAGGGAAAGTAATAAAATGAAAATGATGAAGATTGGTTGAAGTGGCTTAAAGACTTTGTTCTGTCGCCTTTTTTAAGATATCACGTTTTAATTTTGTCAAAACATCTCTAAAGCAAGCTTTTAAGTAGAATTTTTTACACGAATTACGTAGCAATTGATAAAATTTCTATGCACCAAATTATTAAAATGAATGTGAAGCTATACGCACTTTAGACTCTTCCAGAGTTTATAGAAAATTTTAAAATATCTTCCAAGATTTCTTCGTCGATTAGATTAGAAACTTTAATTAATAAGAGTAATAAGATCTTTACAATAATGTCAAGAGGATTCATAAAAGGTAGTTTTTGAGTATTTGAAGATGATAAAAATTATTAGCTCATGGATACAAATTTAGTTTTGTGATAATTTTAATTTTTCTTACCGCCATAAATGAAAACTCGCATTTTCGTTTTTCTTAGTAATTTAGTCAATTTTTTACTATTTTTTTCTCATTTGGAGAACTGTAAGATGATGATTTTATTAATCATTTAAAGAATGATAAAATGAAACAATTTTGATCTACAAGCTCCGTAAAATGTTAAATCTTGTACATAAAAAAAATTGAATAAAATATAAATTCTTGAAAAAAAACTTTCTAAAAATTCTTTCTAATTGAAATTAAGGATTTTTATTTACATTGTTGCTAGTTAAATATTTTCCATTTACAAAATTGTCACTGAGAAAGTTTTCTTTTAAATTGTTTAAAGCGATTTAATAGCACAATCAAAGACTATGGGTGGGTTTTGTGGTAAATAGGAAATATCACATGTTGATGCATTGATGTAAACTATTTTACCATCACTAGAGATTCCTCTTGATTCATGAATGTGACCAAATATATGATACAATGGCTTGACACGTTTCTGAACTGTTGTTAAGAGTTCGACACATCCAGCTCTGATACCATTGCAGCAGAGATCATTGAATCCGACTGGAGGCGTATGAGTGATTAAAATGTCAGTGTCTGAAGGTATAAGATTCCATTTTTGTAAAATTTCTTCTCCTCTTTTCAAATTAAAAGCCCAGTGACAGAATTCTGGTTGATGTGGAGTGCCCCAAAATTTTAATCCATACAATTCCACTCCACTGTCTTCTAAGTAAGTGCAGTTTGTTAAAACTTGCTGAATATTTTTGGTGTTGACTGCATCTTCTAATATTTCTTTGTTGTGTCCTAATAATGGGATTTCATCAAATAATCCTTGTCTTGAATGATGTCCTTTGCTATTTTTTGCAAGAGGATGAGTAAAAGTTGGGTCAAAACTAAGCTCATGATTGCCGGCTATGACAAGCTTATGTTTATGTGGAAGATCACCAAGCCATTGATTGAATTCTTTAACTTCATTTAAACTTCCACATGCAGTAAAGTCACCTGAAATAAATTTTAAATAATTATCTAGAAATTTATTTAATTTTTTAATTAGGTATTACCAGCATGAATGAAAATGTCTCCATCGGGTACATCAAATTTCAAATGACGTGTTAAGGCATGTGTATCTGACATTGCTACAATCCTTATTTTTGTAGGATCAGAATTTTCAGTTCTTGGTGCTCTACATTATGCAGTAAAAAGGAAATGTAGAAATTATTTCCACATTAAATTAATTAATGTACCTGTAAGCTATTTTGATTACTCGCTGAGATTTCGAAATTTCCTTCCATGCTTCAGTTGGATTGTGTGATAAAGGATGAACTGAAATTTCTTCTTCCATTATTCCTTTTTTTAACTTTACAAATTTTTCATTCTTTTTAGCATATCTTAACTTGATTTTAAGAAGTTTTCGGAAAGATTCAAGCACTTGTGAATATTTCAGTAGAATTATCAATTTTCACTTCCTTCTCTGTTGTTATCGGAAATTTTCAAATCTTTGATCACTGTCTGGCGCCTTGTCTATGCTAATTTCCATAAATATAGCGCAATACGAGCAAATATTACAAATTGCTCAGTTTGCTTGTAGATAATATTTTTGAAGTTAACGAGGGTATTGATTGAGCACATTTCACGAATAAAAACAAAAACATTGGTAAACTCAACAAATTAAGTTTAGTAGTCAATATGAATGTTGTTGCGGTTGAATTAATCAATAAATAAAAATAGTAAAAATGAAACTTAAGAATTTAAATAGGATATATGATTAAACTTGATTGAACAATCCTTGTTTGCTACCGCCTTAGACTTCAACATTTCTACTTCTCCTTAAAAACGACCCGCAACACTAGTTCGTTAGTTCTTTCAGTTCTTTTCAAGTGAAATGGAAAAATTGGAAAATCAGAATAAATTTATGAATTTAATTAATGGATAAGCAAGAAAACACTTCAGGAAGCTTTCTAACTTCCAAGCTAATACGTAAGTTATGCTGTTCAAATTTAAATGATTTGAAGTGTTATAAAACAAGGAGGAAACCAATTTGAAAAAAATAATTTAGAATTCAATTTCCAAAATGTCAAAGATGAAAAAAATACGAATGCATTTTTCGTGCAAATTACCTAATTGTATTTTAAATGATTTAAATGTGATATTGTTTCAAAATCTATTTTCAATTAAGTATTTTAATAATTTTGTTTGATTATTTCAGATAAAAATCAAGACGAATCGTTTTCATCTACTTCAATGGAAACTGTTGTATCGAGTTATCAAGCATTAAGATCAAACACACGAATTGATGCAGATGATTCTGTCGTTAATCAGGAAATTGACGCTATTAGATCTCCAGTTTACAATGCAATGACTCTTTCCAATCGATCAAGTCTCTTACCATGGAATTCTAACAATCGATCATCTTTGGTGGCAAACGGCTTCACGAACAATGAAAATCTGATGATTTCAACATCTGACAACTTACGACCAGGTGAAATTGTCATGCGAATCTTATTTGCTGATTTTACACAACAAGCTGAAAAGAAAATTGAAGGAGTCATGTTGGAAAATTCGGAAAAGCAAATCTCGAAATTACTTCAAAGAGGTGAAGATCCACAATTCGATCAACTTTTGCTTGCTTTAGGATCAGTCGCTGAACATTGCTTACCATCACTATTACGAGCTCTTTTAGCTTGGCATCGAAGACAAATCTCTGACACTGAGTTTAAAAGTGACACTATGAAGAAAGACATTGATTGGAATTTAATTGGATCTGTTTGTGATCTTGAAATGCAACTTCAAAGACGTGAAGCTGCTGTAGAATTTATTTTTTGTCTCGCTTTACTTGAAGTTTTAAAACAACTTCCGTTTCATCCCGGTCATGAGGATATCATCAAGAACATAGAAAATCTTGCTTTTCGTCATTTTAAATATCGCGAAGGCATTCAAAACTCGCCCAACTCTTACAATATTCACATCATTGCGGATCTCTATGGAGAAGTTGTTGGAACCCTCGCCCAAACTCGCTTTTCATCAATCAAGAAGCGATTCATGTCGGAATTGAAAGAATTACGAGGTAAAGATCCAAGTCCAAATACAACACAAGGAATCATTTCACTTTTAATGGGAATGAAGTTCTTCCGAGTTAAAATGGTGCCAATAGAAGAATTTGAAGCATCTTTTCAATTCATGCATGAATGCGCTCAATATTTCCTTGAAGTGAAAGACAAAGATATAAAACATGCCCTTGCTGGTCTTTTTGTGGAGATTTTAGTTCCTGTCGCTGCAGCTGTTAAAAATGAAGTCAATGTGCCGTGCGTTAAGAACTTCGTCGATCTTCTTTACTCACAAACTCTTGACGCATGTACAAAAAACAAACATCGACTTGCTTTGTTTCCACTCGTGACTTGCTTACTTTGTGTATCTCAAAAAACATTCTTTCTTAACAATTGGCATTACTTTCTCGCAATGTGTTTAAGCAACTTAAAAAATCGAGATCAAAAGATGAGTCGCGTTGCACTTGAATCTCTTTATCGACTTTTGTGGGTTTACATGATAAGAATTAAATGTGAATCAAACTCAGCGACACATTCAAGACTTCAAAGCATTGTAAACTCGCTTTTTCCTAGAGGATCAAAAGCTGTCGTTCCACGTGACATGCCTTTGAACATTTTCGTAAAAATCATTCAATTCATCGCTCAAGAGCGTTTAGATTTTGCAATGAAGGAAATCGTCTTCGAATTACTTTGGGTTGGGAGACCAATTAAGATAATTATGACACCTGAACGAATGAGTATCGGATTAAGAGCATTTCTGGTTGTGGCTGACTCTTTACAACAAAAAGACGGCGAACCTCCAATGCCTCGTACTGTTGCAGTTCTTCCATCAGGAAACACTCTTCGTGTCAAGAAAACTTATTTAACAAAACTCTTGACGGAAGATATGGCAAAAAGTATTGGAATGTACAATTACTTTCCGCATGTTCGGAGAGTTTTTGTTGATATATTGCGAGCTTTAGATGTCAATTTCGGGCGTCCATTAATGATGACAAACACTCAGAATTTAAATAAAGAGCCTGATGAAATGTTGACAGGAGAAAGGAAACCAAAAATTGATTTGTTTCGAACATGCATTGCCGCAATACCAAGACTCATACCAGATAACATAAGTCAACCAGAATTAGTGGATTTACTTGCACGATCAACAGTACATATGGATGAAGAATTGAGTGGCTTAGCATATCAATCACTTCAAACTCTCGTGAAAGATTTTCCTGATTGGCGACAAGACGTCATTCAAGGCTTCACCCAGTTTGTCTCAAGAGATATTAACGACACTTTCTATCATTTACTTGATAATGCTTTGAGAATGCTGCATATGCTTCTCAGCACATGGAAGAATGGATTGGAGAAGAATCCTGGTGTTGTTAATGTTGGAAAAACCGTTGCAATGTCTTCGCAAGCTTCAACTTTCACAACATCTACAAACTTAGGAACAATGACAACAGTTATATCTGTGAAAGATTCGGGATATATTTCATCACAAGCAGCACAACAACATTCAACTGGAACAACGAGTACAAACTCAAGTGTTAATTCAAGTAGTGGAATTCAACCTCCGTCATCATCATCAGCTTATGCAGGTGAAAATACAAGAAAATCTGAAGTTCCTATAACAGCGACTCTCAGATTAGCAGAGGGATTGGCACTTGTTATGCTTTGCAATTATAGACCCGCTCCTCGTAAACTTGCCGTTCATATTTTGAAAGAAGTTAAAGCAATTTTGAAACTTTTGGGACACCCAGTTGTCGAGCCGCCATTGATTGATGTGATCGACAAATGTTGTCCTCAAATTCTTGACTCGATTGTTCATATGTTGCCTCAAAGTGAGAGATCAGCAATTCTGAATGCAAATGTCATTGACTTACAATGGATTATTGAACGAAACAGCTCAATATGGACAATTGGATATGTTGAAGAGTCGGTTAAGTCATCAATGGTAGGCCAAGGGTTTTTGCAGCCGAATAATAATGGATTTCAATTCGATCCATGGTCTGCGTGTTTGTTTGGATTTATGGAGAGAAATCATGTGATTCAACAATGTCCGACCGTTGTAGCGCAAGCCTGGCCTTTATGTTATCAAAGAGTCCAAAGCTTATACAGCTTAATCGATCCAACGTGAGTCAAAACTTATTTTAAAAAATAATTTTAATAAATTAAAATTTATTTCTTCTTCAATCAGTCCCGTGAATGACAATCGAGCATCACTCCTAAGAAGTTCAGCTCCAGCTAAAAAACCTCTTACCGAATGTCAACGTGATTCATTTGTAAACTTGTGGAAGAATCAGATTAAGCTTGCAATGCGGCTCATTCCTCCCGTTGTTCCAACTGTAACAATCCGTTGTGCATCTCCAGATTTAAGTTTAAGGTGAGTTTTGTTACATTTATCTCAGAATTTTCATTTCACCATCATTCAAACATTGCTTATGGCATTCGTTTTCATTATCGATGTAACATTTCTATATCATTTGATAAACTTTAGTAGATTTTAACTGATTGCTTCTTTCTGATTTATAAAAGTTGAATGGAACAATTATTGTTATTTCTTCATCTTTAATATATATCTCTCAATAAGTTCATGTTATAAGTTAAATGGCTAAACGAAGAAAGGATTTTTATATTTTGAAAAATCATTTTCTGAATTTAAATATCCCAGTGGGAATAGGCGATTTTATATGATAGCAATAACAACTGTAACAAAGCTCACGGGGTGGAACTGTGATAAATTGCTTGAACACTTCAGCAACTATAAACGCTTTGAGTATTTATTTGAACTTCTTTATTTTACGATTAGATTTTTTCTTTAAGACAATGTTTTAAAAAATGAGGCCCACGAGCATGAAGTGCTCGAATCTTTTATACTAAATTTAGTCTTATCTCAGCCAATCAAAGACGGGTCATACTTTGTATGTTCCCACTTCATGGAACGATCGCGAAGAATTTACAACTTCACGCTGCGAGACACTACACAACCGTTCAAAACATTTCTTTAGAAGGAAAATATTTTTGTTGTTCATTATTCTTGTGTTTTTAGTACACAAGTATTTTTTTTTATTATGTAGGTACACAAGTATAATTCTACAATTAAACGCTGGTAAGCGGAAATCCGCTTTCGACGAATTACAAATGAAATGTGGAAATGATTCTATCGATATACTTCTGATTCAAGAGCCAGCAATGCATAAAGGCAAAGTTAATAATATAGCAAATGGCGACTTGTTTTATATGAAAAAAGCCCAAAATAGAGTCATGTCTTGTATTTGGATAAAAAGAAACTCAAATAAGTTCCTCGATCCTTTCCTTCTAACAGAGTTTTCTGATGAATTGATGACTGCTATTACAGTTAAAGTCAAGCTAGATGGCGGATCAATCAAAACAATTGTAGTGATATCTTTTTACTCTCCAGGTATACCAATCTCTGTTCAACCTATAAGCAATAATTTAACTTCTCTAGTTAGGTACTGTAATTTAAACAAACTTGATTTCATTCTATCTGCCGATGCAAATGCGCATCATCAAATCTGGGGCGGTAATCAAATATGTAATAGAGGTATAAAGGTGCTAGATTTTATTATTAAAGAAAATCTTATCCTATTGAACAAAGGTGATATCCCAACTTTCGTGAGGGGGAACTCAAGGACTTTTATAGACATTACGGTCAGCAGTAAAGGACTATCTGATAGGTTAGTAGACTGGCAGGTTGACATTAATAGATCGGGTTCGGACCATAACACCATATTTTTCTCATTGAAAACTGATACATTTGAAAACTTAGGGAAAGTTAAACGAAGAACGAATTGGGAAGGGTACAAAGCTTCTCTACAGGAGAAGCTCCAAACATTATCATTACTTAATAGCAGCAAAGAAAATCTCGAAAAGAACTCTCAAATTTTCTCGAATGTGCTTATCGATTCATTCAACCAAAACACCAAAACATTTAAAATCAAATTAAACTTTAAAACAAAATGGATGAATAAAAATTTACTGGATGAAAGAAAAAAAGTAAGAAAACTCTTTAGCAAAGCATTTAAATCCAAGAAAAACATTGACTGGTCAAACTATAAAGTAGCAAACAGAAACTATATGAAATCATGCCGTAAAGCTAAAACAGAATCCTGGAAAAAGACCACATTAGAAATTGATGCATTGGAGGACGCCACAAGATTACAAAAACTACTCGAAGGGGAAAAAAACTTTAAGTTAGGCTCCCTTAAAAATATAGACGGCTCTTATACCAGAAATNCGCTGCGAGACACTACACAACCGTTCAAAACATTTCTTTAGAAGGAAAATATTTTTGTTGTTCATTATTCTTGTGTTTTTAGTACACAAGTATTTTTTTTATTATGTAGGTACACAAGTATAATTGTTGCTAATGCTTCAAAGTACCTCTGTAGAAATTTTCATGCTTAAAACTGTTTTCCCTTAGATGTTCTAATAAAAATTGTAAACATTGTTGTTAAAATTTAAAAAGAATTTAACGGAAAGCATATTTTAATTGACTTGAGAATCATTCATGAATCTTATTCAAACCAAAAGGATCAATGACGTAATGGTTGTTTTCATTAAATTAATTTAATCTTGATGAACGATTTTTTTTTATGTAAAATAAACAAATTTTGTTTTGTTTTACGAGTGGGCTTAAGTTATGCTTAATTATTTGTCAGAATAATTGAAAAAGCTAAATGAAATTTCCTTTTATGAATGTTATAAAGTAACCTAATTTATTATTAAGGAATTTCCGCCTTTATACATTTCTTCATCATTGGAATTTATCTAAAGTTTTTTATGTTGATAAATATCTACTTCATAATTTCTCTATTAAACTTTGAATTTCAATGCCAACACAAACGAAAAGAACCTCTTCATATATATTGAGAAAAGCTTTTTCTTTGTTGATTTATTTGATTTCTTGTCATATTTACCTACTTATTTCTAAGTAAGATCGTTGTCATGTAAATAATAAACTTTTTGTGTTGTGAATTTTTGTCAAAGACAAAAACCAAAACTCGCAAGAGTTTCAATGTTCTTTTTCTCAGTAATATGAAAAGTTTTTTGTGGAGGATTTTTGATGCTATTTTATTAATATATATCTTTTTGAAATTAAAAACATATTTTTCTTGTCTTCAAAAAAGTGAAAGCGACGTAGAAATTCAAATAAAACTGTGTTGAACTTAAAATCATTAAAGCACTTCCACCTTAGATATTGTATTTTGTATTTGTTTTGAACATTCATTTTTATTAAATTCTTTTATTTATTAATTGTGTTTCTTAATTTTGCTTTAAAATCTAAGTCTGCATGAGCAATCAGCGGACACAAAATCACTGTCAGATTCTTTGGACAACATACCTTCTTCTGTTTTTGGACCCGAAGGAATTGTGACAAGATTCACATTGCCTCTATCACAGGGAAGAAAAAAACTACGCCATGGGTAATATTTCAAGTGTTAAGATGCTGGGAAAGATATTTTTATGTTCGTAGTTAAGCTATTTAGAATTTTATGTCCGCTTCTTCAACTCAAACTTTTATTAACAAATATTATTTAAGATCGTGCGAATCTTTTGCTGTTTTATTTTTTACAAAATATTACAGAAAGTTTATAATTAATCTAGAAGTATTAATTGTTGTTCTGTCCAATTTAGAGCTTTAAAGTAAGAGTTCGTAAAATTAGTTGCAATGTTATCCTAACCAAGCAATGTTTTAATGTTGTATTTGAAATAAATTGCGTTAAATTTCTTTACTACAGCTCATTATGTTGAAAAATTCTTTATTTATCACACATTTTTCTGTCATTAGTTCTTCACCAGATTCCATGAATACAGATAGAAATGATAAGAATTCAAGTGGATTATCTATAGCGATGTACAAGCTTATTGTGCCACTTTTGAGGTGCGAAGTTGTGGACATTCGTGACGCTGCTGTTAGTGCGTTAGGATTAATAAATCCGGATGCTTTGAAGTAAGTGTTAAAGTCTTTCAATTCCTTATAAAAAATTATTAATAAAAATAATTCTTCACAGAGATTTAATGGAAGAACTTGTACCTTATATTCGAGAAGCTGTTGACAGAAAGCAAGAAAACATGAGACGAAGACGACGGCGTGACGCTCTCAGATTACACTTGGTTAAAGTTCTGAAATTGATAGCAGAGAATGAAACCTTTGGTGTCAGTCCTTGTGTATTGGAACGTGAAACAATGTCATTGCATCCAACATTTGTCGACTATATGGATGGTGCACGTTTATATTTAGATGCAGAAGTTGACAAAGATAATGCCAGCATGCGAGAAGTCAAAGTTCACTTTTGTGACTTCATTCGAATTATGATCAAAAATTTTTCACGTGAGTTTATTTTCCTTTAATTATTGTCTTAGATTTTCATGTTCATGCACATTCATTCAACATTTCACACAACTTATCTTATTAGATTTCATTTCAAAGTTATAGAGATAATGATGGAAAGCTTAGAGATCATTAAAACTTTTTTGTTTCCACATGAAATATCATAAATGTAGAAAGATTAAAGAAATTTAATTCTAAGCCATCGTTGTTAACTGTTGTAATTTGTTTCAATATTCTCAATATTACCCACAATAGACAAATATTGTGATGAAATTGATCCTTTTGAACATAACCAGAATATTAACAAAATTAATTCATTCTGTAATATCACAATTATTTATAAATTTAATAATTTCGACATCTCTTAACATTTTTAAGTAGCTAATTTTTGACAGAAAATTTATTTATTTTAATACGATAATTTTAACATCTAAAGCTCTTAACAATTTCAAATAACTAATGATTCTTAGAAAAATTAATCTATTTTTAATCTTCCCATCATTCAGTTGAAATTTGCAACACACTTTTATCGAGAGATTTAAAGCGAAATCTCTTTAATTTATTCGCATCATGGTCTGGTCAGTATGCGAAACCATTGGGAATATCAATATCAAATGCTTTAAATGAAGACACCAATTTACAATTCTGTGCACTCCAAGTAAGTCTTTACTAATCACTGGAATATTTATGTTGTAAATATTATTTAAAAAATGAAATTATCTTCCATTACAGGCAATGTCAGCTCTTCTTTGCTGTGGCTCATGTTTTGATACTTTAAATTTGTCTGAAGATGGAAACATTTATCATTGGCTCGATTTATTATTGACATCTCTTGATGAAAAGGTATTTGACGAAATATTTCAATTAATTGAAGCCCCTAATTAATTTAACTTGTTTAATAGATATATCAACTAGCAAAAGACACGGTTGTTTTACTTTTGGAATGTAATCCTGATATTGGTACTTTGCTTGAATGGGTTATAGACCGTTGCTACACAGCAATACCCAGAGAGGCTGATGCGTGTTTTTTAGCCTTGTCGTCTATTTTCAATGTTAAGTGAGTATCATACTTTTTAAAAAAAAGGTTGAAAAAGGATGAAATGTTTTTAATTTATTTTTCGCCCTTTTGCTTAAATTCCATTCACAGAGAATATCCATGCGACCATTACACTTCAGTCATTACAATAACCTTGGTAACAACCGGTTGTCCCCGCGTGGAGGTTCAAGCCACTGCTCTTCAACTGCTACAGATTTTAGATAAAAGATTCTTTAGCACAATGGGACTGTTGCAAAATGAAAAGGAAAATGGTGAGTTCATCAATTATTACGGTGGAAACGAATTTCTCTTAAATTTAAAGAAGAGGTTCATCATATTTAATGCGTGAGACTCGTTTTTTGGATTATCATTTGATATTCTTGAGTTAAATTGGTCTAACACGTTGTTTCGTTTTATTTTCGAGTAGTCGGATATTTTATTCTTTCGTTATGATCTAAATTTCATGACATGGGCTAGACAGGATTAATCTTCTCAAAAACACTGTTAACACGATGTAAGTCTTGGATATTGTAATGTGATGAATTGTTTCTCGTTAGAAACCGTGCTCTTGCCGAACCTGGAAGATTTAAAATATTCAATTATTCTATATAAAAATAAAATTCTTAAGGTTTTCTTGGTTGTTTTCGTCAAAGTTCGATTCTCTTCTTAGAATATGGAATGTTATTATCATTCAAAATACAGAAATTCTTTTGAATATATAAAAAAGAGAAACAAATAAATTTATAAGTAAATTTATAAACTTTTCTGAATCAAAATACTTCCAATGAAATAAACTTAAATACCTGTTAATTGAGTGTTGCCTAGTTCAGTGTTTCGCATATGCTTGTTTTTCAAGGCTGAAAACATTTCTATAAGAGCTTTTCTGCTTATAAAAATGTTTAAGTTAAAAGTTTGGTGAAAGAAATGAAAGATTTTTAATTACCTAAAATTTTGTCCACTGAAGCAATAAAGTATGAAATTTATGCCAAAGTTTGTAACGAAAAGAAGCCACGATATGTACTGAGTTATTACTACGCCTTGAGATTCGTTTTCATTCTGCATAAAAGAAATTGAAAATTTTAGAAAAAATCATATATCGACTCAACAAATTTTGTTTACCTCAACAAGAAATGCTTTTATTCTCATAACGTAACTTGGAAGATTTAGAAAAGCAAAAACCGATGAAACCAGAAGCAACATTTTGGTTACTTTGATTTGTGATGAGATTGAAGAAGTCTTTTGATCTGATTTTAAAAAAATAGTTTCTTAGTAATATTTCTATCTGAAGTCTTTGAATTTTACCTATTTGAGCAGTTTCGACATTATTTAAACATGATGCACTTGAAAATTCAGATTTCCCGTGTTCGTTGCCTACGTAGAGATTTTTTGCTCTCAATCTATCAATTTTCATTAGGATATATGTTATTTTATATGAATGTGAAACGAAATACGGTTTTCAGACTATTTAGAAATATTCTTCTCAAATTTTATTCATCGTCTAGTTTCGGTGGCAAAATGTCACCATCATCAGGATCTTAGAAATGTTAGAGAATTTGTCAATACTATTTGAAAAAACTTTAAAAATATTCTGCATGTAATAATACTTTGCGCCAATCGCCATTAAGAGTTCAACTTATATTTCTAAATAGTCTAAAAACCGTATTTCGTTTCAAATTCATATCAATTTTCAATTTCTTTTAAGATGTTGAAATAGAAAAATGAATTTTTATGATTGAATTTGAAAAGCTTACCTTTTCTTCACAGTTACAATTCGTCTCACACCTGATACTTTCCACACTGCTTTTGCAGTAAGAATGTTAAGCACAGCAATTATAGAAAAAGGAATCACAAAAACAATGACCGTGTCGATGTAATTGAATATTTTCATCTGAAACTGTTTAAATAGGGATTCAATGAAAGAACATTATTGAGAAGAATAGCAGCAGATCGAGAAAAGCTTAAATTACAAAGCTTTTTTTGTACTTAGACAATTTGCTACGAGTAAAGAGAAATTTTGTTGAAATTTGAACCTCTCACCTTGTTTTCCGGCCTCACATCACAAATAGAATCGTTCAGATATTCAGAATATAAGGGGGCGGCATAGATAAAAGTTGGAATATTTAAAAAGCATCCAATTATAAATAAAATAAAAAGCACTGTGCAAGCTCTTTTAATTGTACACAAATGTCTTTTCAATGGATAAAGTACAGCAATAAATCTTTCCACTGTGAAAGCAACCACAAACCATGCTGATAAAAAGCTGCACAGACTGCACAAATAAGTGAAAAATTGACAGAAGTAATTTTTATTATAAATGCTGATGTCGATGTAGTTTAGCCAAGATATGAAAGCTCCGAGCAAAAAGCATGTATCACTTATTCCTAGTGCTGCTAAATAGTAACTTGATGACAACATTCTTAATTTAGTCCTAAAAAACACTATCACGGATAAAATATTTCCAAAACCTCCTGCAAACACCAGAAATGGTGTGTAATAATGCGTCAAAAATTCTCCGACTTTGTAAGCAAATTGCAATCGTAAACCTTCATCTTCAGCTTCATAATCCACGGTGAAGTTTATTGTTAAATTTAAAATATCATAGTCTTTTAAAATATTGAAACTATCATATTCTTTTACACAATTGTTCTTAATTACTGGAAAATAAGACTCCATTATCAATTCTTTTAAATATTTCATTTATTCTTAATCTTAAACTTCAGTCTGCAAATGTTTTTCAACCTTCATTTTACTTCTTTAAATGTTAAAAATTGATCTAAAATTTCCTAAACACAACCGACCTGTTGAATTGTCAGAAAAGGACTGCGCATTATCATATATCACTCTGAAGAACATCAAAACATGATTCATGAAAAAGAAAAATATCCTGAGCGGATCATTTTCGACAAGTTATTTACGCTCTTTCTCATCTGTTACTCTCAATTGTTGTTAACAGACAGCATGATGACGACTTAGGCATTGTTTTCCCTTTAAAGGAATTGATACTTTTCGAATTAAAAACATATAACGAGTAAAGAACGCGAAAACACTTTTATATTTTTTACTTCACAATTTAACTTACATTTATAGCTATTTCGACAGCTAAGCTTTCATCTTCAGAAGATTTCGTTCAATACTAGAGTATAAAAAAAAAGTATAAAAGTGTTTTCGCGTTCTTTACTCGTTATATGTTTTTAATTAAATCAACTTTTTACGCGCCGATAAATAAATTAAAATGATACTTTTCGCTTTAAGTTAAAGTGCTTTAGAATAATTTCTCAGAAGGATATTTCTATGAAAAAAAGCGAATCTGGTTCTGGTTAAAATCTTTAAACATTCACATAATTAAAATCTTCTTTTCAGATGACAAGTCAGGTTGCTTAGATGGATCATTGGATAACTTGTATTGCCGTTCACAAATGTACCTTTCTCGTCAAATGTCACGGCTACGATCGGAATTAACTATGCCGATTTTTTCAGGTCAATTATTGAAATAAGAAAATTTCAATTAAATATTCATTTATATTAATGTTTTTTGCTTCCTTTAGAAATGACACACCGCTTTCAAACAGCAAGAACTGATGTTCGTTTTCTGTTGCTTCAATGTATGCTTCCTTGGCTTGAAAATATGGAACTTCTAGCATCAAGTGTGCCAGCCACAAATTCGCCCTTATCATACATCATGTACTATCCCGATTCAGGGTTAAAAGGTCGTCGTGATGGGTCTGGGTCAACAGAAGCTACTGAAATGATCCTAAACAACCTCTTTTACATTACAGCTAAGGTAAATATGTATTTTCTTATTAAGTAGTTGGGTCACTATTACATTATTTATTATCATAAAGTTGATGCCACGAGGCTTGATTTGACATTGTTTTCATCATTGAAATATCTTCATAACGTTTCAAAATTGACTTTTTATTTTTCTTACAAAATTGAATTCTTTAGAAAGAAATTCAAGTTTAAATGTCAAAATACTTATTTATTTATTAAGGTTCTTTCAGGAGCTTTTAGCATTTTGAGTATTATTATTATCTCTTCACATCAACATTAAATCAACATCAGTTTTATATGTATGTAAAATTTTCAAAAACATCTCAAATCTCTTGTTACAGTTCTCAGATTCTCATGGCAGAGAAATTGAAGAGCTTTGGGGAATATTAGCACAATGCTGGCCAAATAATCTGAAAGTTATCTTACGCTATCTCGTCATCATCTCAGGATTAGCACCCAATGAGCTTTTATGCTATACGAAACGAGTCGCTCAATACCTTGCACGATCATGTGCTGAAAGATTCTTAGATGAATTGATGTTGGAATTACAAACAGTCGAAACATTAAATTGTTTAATAGAACGAACTGAAACGCCGCCATTTTATCGGTTAACAAGTATGAGAAAAACTTCTTCAAGTCATTGTGATGGAGCTGTAAACAATGATCCGAAAGTTCAAGAATTAGCTGTCGAAAAGGGAACAATTCATACCAAACGACATGCCAAAAATGACGACGATAAAAATGGGTACGTAATGTCAATTTTATAAACAAAATTCCATGAAATTTGATTTGCATAAAACCTTTCACAACCCACTTAAGAATGAATTATTAAAAACGAAAATATCAAATTTGCGTCAAAATGGATCTCTCATTTGAGTCCTTAAAATTTGGTCTGGGGAAATTGAAAACCGTTCTTCACTCGCATGTGTCTCATCATCAGACATAAAATTATTCCTGTCTTGGGAATTTTGCATAAGTATTATAACAAATGGTACACATCTTAAATGAATGTTGAGCATTTTACATAAATCAGCTTGCATTAAAAATTTATCTAAACAATTTATTAAATTTACAAATGTTTAAAAGAAAAATTTTCAAAATACTTCTTTGTCTTGAATATTGTTTGAGATTTAATATAATCTATTTAGATTAATGTTAATTTAATGAGAGTTTGTTAAACTTTTTACTCTAATTAACAAGTTTAGACTTTGTTTTACTGTTCAGTGAACTCCTTTTTATTAGATAAATTATCATTTTTTCATTTAGAACTTGCAAGTCTGACAGTGCTTTAAGAGCTTTAATAAGCAGCAGTGCTTATCGTCCGCCTCGTGGGAGTGACAAAATAAGAACCGCTTCAGGGCCGTGCATACTTCCACGTCATGAAGACGTTATTCAAAATGAAATGGAAACACAATCAGAGGATCATAATCTACAGGTGAGGCATGAACACCATCGTCAAATGACACATCCATTACCGATGCCAGAGTATGGTGGATATTTTGCACCTTTAAACAAGATTCTACCTGACACTAATCTGCCCATAAGTGGATTTCATCGATGCAATGTAGCGGTGATGCTTTTGAGTGACATTGTTGTTGATGGAATTGCAGGAGTCGATTGGACACTTCACTTGCCGTTAATGTTGCATATTTTGTTTCTTGGTCTCGATCACTCAAGAACAATTGTACGAGATCATTGCAAACAATTATTGCTGAATCTTCTCTTTGTTCAATCTTCCCACAACGATCATTTGACACTTGCAAAAATTATGTTAAATAGTCAAACGAAAAAGTTGAGATTGGGATTAGCTGAATCATCGTTGTCAATCATTGAACACAATTTTACAGAGTTTGATCAAGAGTTTGATTCATATTGGTTCGGACCTTCATCTGGACCTATCTCAATGCAAGTTATGACAGGACAAATACCTTCGAATATAAAAAATAATCCTGGAAATGAGGATGAGAATGTAGAAAACGTCGAAATTCCAACAATAATAACTGAAAATGCTTCTGCCACTCAACCCAACGCGACCATGACAATACCTCATGTTATTAAAAGCATTATAATGTTTTTGACTCAAGAAAATCAGCAGCCATTATGGAATTATGAAGACATAACAGCGAAAATGTACGTCTGTAAATCTACAGAACAATTAACATGTTTCACACGTCACATTGTTAAAATATTTTCCGAATCACATCCGCAATCAAGCATATCAGAAAGGTGGGCACAAACAGCACTTCAACTTGGATTAAGTTGTTCATCCCGACATTATGCTGGCAGATGTTTACAAATTTTCCGAGCACTTAACGTGCCCATTAATTCAAGAATGCTTTCGGACATTTTATCCCGATTAGTTGAAACGGTTGCTGAACAAGGAGAAGACATGCAAGGATATGTAACGGAATTACTGTTGACATTAGAAGCTGCTGTTGACAGTTTAGATTCTGATTTCCGTCCACTCGATGTCATGAAAGATATTTTCAAAAGTACCCCAAATCTTAATAATAAAGATGGAGTTATTCCCAACTCAAGTAAGTTAACAAACATCTTTCGATCAAAATAAAAGAAATCCTTCCAATCATTTCAATAACTTTTTTATTTCTTTTCAATTTATTTGCAGATAAACGAAGTAGCGATGGAGTTCAAGTGTCACCTCAACCGATAAACGCGACAAATATCACAGGAAGTCATACAAGAAGTACAAGCTATTCAGTGTCATATTGTACAAAAAAAACATCGAATCTTCCTATTGATTGCAAAGGTATGTTTATTGATTATTTACTCGACATTTCCACAAAATTTCATATTTTTTACATCTAAACAAATCTCTAAAAAATCCAAAAATCACAAGCAATTATTGTCAATAACATATTTTTTTGAATAATTTGAGAATCTTCCTGTTACTATCGTTATAAATATAGAAGGATTTTGATAAACAAGATGTTGTAAAACATGAAACCTTTATCTGCTAGATTTTCGTATTATTTTCTTTATCATCTTCCACAGAATTGAGAAATCGAACAACAACGAACATTGAACTGGAAAGAAGCCAATCAAAATTTTCTCCCAATTCGCTTTCACGTTCAAGAAGTGCGCAAAGCTTAAAATTGCTTGGTACCGATACAGCTATTCAAGATGATAAAATGACGATATTGGCACAACTTTTCTGGCTTGCTGTGTCACTTCTTGAGAGTGATTACGAACACGAGTTTCTATTGGCACTTCGTTTGTTGTCACGGGTTCTTCATCGTTTGCCACTTGATCGTCCCGATGCACGTGATAAAGTTGAAAGACTTCAAAATCAATTGAAATGGAACAATTATCCAGGAGTTCATTCTCTTCTTTTGAAAGGATGCACACATGCTGTCACTTATGAGCCTTCAATTGCTGTTCTCTCTCAAATATCTCCAATTTTAAGTCTCCCAGTTTGTGATCCGACACAAAGCAGCGCATTTGCAATGAATGTCATTGCTTTATTACCTTACATGTTGTTACATTACGACAATGCTAATGAGGTTTGCATTCAAAGTGCTGAGACAATTGCACAAGTTGCATCAGAAATGGGAACAAAGCTGGAAAACTTGGGAACAGTCATGACACTTTACAGTCGAAAACAATTCAGCAAAGAAAGCTTTCAATGGACAAAATGTGTTATTAAATATCTTCACGACACATATGCGCATTTAGGAATCAACATGTTGGCATTTTTGATTGAAGTTTTGGAGAAAGGATGGACTCAAGTTCAGCTACAAGTTCTCAGTGTTATTCATTGTCTTCTTCATTATGTCGAGCTTTCAACGTCTCAAGCACAAATCATAAGCAGTGATCTGTTGAGAGTGGTTGCAAAATACTTAGACGTAAGTAAAATTTAAATTGAATCTAGGTTTGGAATTAAATTTAAATTATTTTTATCTTGACTTCAAAGAGTCCTAATTGGAAAGAAGCTTTGAAAATTCTAAAGCTTGTCGTCACAAGAAGTTCGACTCTTCAAGTTGTCCCACAAGCGTCTGCTATTGACAGGTCAATGAATTTCTTTCAAAATCTTCACGGCAGTTATAGCGATTCTGAAGTGTTTTGTAAAAAGGAACTCGCTGGAAGAACAATGGAATTTTCTTTCGACGTTTCTCAAACACCTTTAATTGGTCGTCGCCTATTGTTAAAACCTGATCTGGAAGCAAATGTAAGCACACAAGCGAAAATCACTCAACCCACGAATGTTACTTTCAGTGGAAATCCAAATTCACCTCGACGAAGTACAAGTTTGTCACCTGCTGACACAGCTCCATTGAGTGGTTGGAAACGACCTTGGATGTCACAAGGTCGTGTTAGAGAGTGCCTCGTTAATTTATTGACAACATGTGGCCAACGAGTGGGATTACCAAAAAGTCCTTCGGTAATATTTTTTCTTTTATCTTTACTTAAATTAGTTTTGGGGTAGAAAATGTTTAATTAATACTCTGTCAAATAGCAAAAATATTTTCATTTCAAATTAGTTTTTTAACCTACTTCTAAAAAAAAGTTTCAAACAAGTAGGTAAGAAATCTTAAATTTATGCGATAAAACGAAGCCCATTAAAATCTCTTAAAGCTTTTAAATTGAATCTTTCTTAAAAGCTTCTCAGAAATTTGTTTACTGATGCAAATTGAACTTAGTTTGAATGATGAGTATGAAAACTTTGACACTGAATTAGGAAACATATTTTCTCTTAGAAACAAAAACATTAATTAGACTTTAGTAAACATCACATCATGATTAGATTTCATTCGCCCAAAAGAAGCTCCAAACAAGTAAACAATCTTAAAGTGTGATAACACGAAGCCCTCGCAAATCTATTAAAGCTTTAAGAAGTTAAAATTGAATATTTTTAACAGGTGATATTCAGCCAATCATCAGATTTATTGGAAAGGCAATCGTCTGCATCAAGTACAGAAGACACTTCAGGAGCTCAACAAGACTTGAGTGGCGGTTCGAAACGTGATGATGGTCAGCCAGATTTCGGGGTATTCAAAGATTTTGATTTCCTTGAATATGAAAGTGAAAGTGTCGAAGGTGAATCAACGGATAACTTCAATTGGGGTGTTCGTCGTAGACCGTTGAGTGAAGGTGATAGCGAACCTTTGACAAAAACCCAATCAAATATAAACGACGAGAGCGTTAGCGAGAAAACTCCTACAATGAGTAAGAAACGTCGAAATAATCCTGACGATAGTTCGGACGAAGAAGTTGAATCGGAATCTCCGCTTGACGAAGATCAACGCCCAATTTTCACGAAGAATTCATTCATTAGTGGACAAACACTTTCGTTGAGTTTAAGAGAAAGACGACCGAGAAAAGATTCAATAAGTCGTTCTGATACAAGCGGCTCGAGTGCAGGAGATTTGGATATAACGCCATGCAATGCTTCACCACATGCTGGAATTTTGTCATTCAAGCAAACACCTCGTGATGAAACTGAAGAAGCGTGGCGTAAAAGTTTACTTATGTTGATAGTCAATCAACCATCATCAAACCCAACTGTTTTGTTGAATAAACTTTACAAACTTATTCGAGAATTGACAATGAAGTGCAACATGGTTTCAAAGGAATGTGTAAGATTTTTTATTGGCACAACAGCACCGTTAGGAAATCGAATTTCCATCTTATCAGATTTGTTGTCATCAAAAGGTGAACCACCTCGAATCTGGTATAATCAAGATTATGCCAGCTCACCAAGATTGAGTGAGTCATTACGTTACAGTGTTTTGGAGATTCAAGAACATCTTGAAACGTTTTTCGATCGAAAAGATCATCTTATGGAAAGCTTGGAATCAGTTAAGTCATCAATGAAATTTAGCTTGTTTGGTGATGTTGAAAATGACGGAGCGACATGTTCGGATACAATTTCAGTTGATCCCGGAATATCTGAAATTATTCTTGAGTTAGGTCGTGGTCTTTATAAATTGATTTTTCAACTACTTCTACTTATTGAATCCGATCATAAAATTGCTATTCAAGTTTATCAAAGTCTTCATGGAAATCAAGCTGTGAGTTTTCATTTCCTTTTGTTAAAATTGATTTCAATTCTTAAAATGTCAAAAAATATTAATTTCATGTTTAGATGCGTGACTTGTCATGTGAATACTCCGCTATTAAAGGAACAATTCTTCAAAACATTGATGATGTTGAGTTAGAGTCGTTAGACACTTCAACGTCAACTGAAGGTGAAAGTTCGACGCCTGTTGCGTCCCCATTGCCAATGAGTGCAAGTGATTTTGAGAATATCATTCACGAATTGATCGATAAGCAAAGGTTAGTTTGGTTGCAATATTCATTATTTTGGTCTGTGATTTCGATAATTAAATGGGAAACTTAACAGGTGGCGAGCAACAATACAACACATTAAGCAGTATAAACAAGTGTCAGAGTCATCATTATCTTACATTGTTAGTATGGATGGAAGTTTCAGTGAAGAAACAAAATGTTTCGACGATGTCTCAATTATAATGAATGTTTATGCTGAACGATTAACAAGACAAAAGAATGGTAAGCAGATTATTGAACTAATAATTTAAATTCTTCTCATTTCTCTTCATAAAATGCTTTTTTTGAACTGCTTGTTGATAATTCATAAATATTCCATGCAGACGCCTTCATTCTGTCTCGTTCCGAACAAGATTTGAATGAGATTTATCAAATATTAATGGAGAACTTGTATCACGTGTCTGCTGCTATTCAGGACCTTGATGTTCAGCTGAAGACTAATTCAACTCCAACTGTTCACCATGGAGATACTGTGGACATCATAACGACACTCTAAGCTTTTAGATTTGAAGCTCATAATTAAACCTATTCCTAGATGAACATTTATAAATTAATAAATATTCTCTGTAAAAAGATATTACCTAATAAGCAACAAATAAATTTAATACTTATCAAACAGATTGTGAACTTTTTTACTTGTTTATTATTATTGAAATTTGACTTGTGAAATCAAATGTAAAGCGACGTCATCGCAAGAAAATCAAATAGCAGAAAAATCTTCAATCAAACACTTTTTTGAAATTCAAGCTCGTTAAAATATTAATGAGAAATAAAGGCAGAAATAGTCATATTTAAAACTAATTAAGTTAATTAGTCAAACTGAAATTTCAACTTTTGTAAATCATTTTCATTTTCAATATGGGGAAATTTCACGAAATATTATTATTATTATTATTATTATTTTATTAAATTT